AGCACGTGGTAGAGTTAGTATCCGCAATACCATATTGGCACAGATTTTAGATTACTTGACATCAGATCACAGACTTCCAACTTATAACGTGTCCTCTAAGATGAGAGAGATCCAATTACTAAACCTTCTGAAAGCTGTACCGGAGATTGATTGGGATGCAGCTTATGTATCACAGCTTTGTGAGAAAGCAAAATTTTATCAGGTATTCTCTCAATGGACATTTATCATTCCCCTATAAGGTGCTTGCAATGTATACTTTGGGATATCCTCCTTGATCTCTGTTTGTGGTTTTCATTTTCCAGGTTTGTGGCTATATTCATATCATCGGTCGAAGGTATGTTGCAGCTTTGGATAGCTACATGAAAGAGGCAGAGGAACCCATACATTCGTTTTGCTATGTGAACAATATGCTGTCACAGTTGAGTGGCGATGAATTCACTACCTTTCAGTCTGCAATATTTTCTAGAATTCCCGAGCTCCTTGAATTGAGCAGGTAACTTTAGATTGATTTAATTTTCTCTTGATTAAGTCTGCTGGACTCTAATAATATTGGATTTCTGGCATTTTGCAGACAGGGAACATTCTTCCTGATTATTAATAATTTGAAAGACAACATTACACACATTCAAGAGCAGCTCCATTCTCATCCAAGAAGCTTATTCCTGTATCTCAAGACTGTTATTGAGGTTCACTTGTCTGGGAGTCTTGATTTTTCTCGTCTAAGAAAATATGAAGCTGTAGATAATTCTGGTGAAAACATTAGAAGGGATATACCCAAGGAGGTTGAGATTTATTTGGAGGAACTTAATGGCTTTCCCAAATTTATCCAAGATAATCCAGTCAATGTGACTGATGACATGATTGAGCAGTACGTGGAGGTAAGCATTTATGAAATCTTGTTCAATTGAATCTCTCTCTTCCGTCATAATATTTCTCATATTCTTATTCAAATGGATTTTGTTAGCTCTTCTATATAACATAATAACTGTCTAATAGATATAAGTTCTCGTGGAAATCTGCCTCTGGAAACAATATTTTCGTTTTCTGACTATAATTACAGAAGCCAGTGAGACAAATTTAGACTGCAACAAGTCTTAGGTCTCTGCTGAAGTATACTTTTGTCTATTTCATCGCATCTTGCAACTGTTATAGCTCTTTTCACTACCTTTTCAAAATTTCCAAGATTGAATACACATTGCTTTTATTACACCAGAACTTTGCTTGGTTTGTTTGTCTGAAAAAGTGATATGACTCGGCTTGTTCTTAATCTCCTCTCCATATCCTTTAGTGGCGCCTTGAATTATTTGGCATCATGGAATCGTTTCAACTTCCAATGCTGATGATTCTCTGTGTATTTTTACAGCTATTATGCAAGTACGAACCAAAGTCAGTCTTGAGATTTCTGGAAACCTTTGACAGCTACAGGGTGGAACACTGTCTACGTCTGTGCCAGGAATATGGAATTGTAGATGCAGCAGCATTCCTCTTGGAGAGGGTGGGTGATGCAGCAAGTGCTTTGTCCCTTACACTCTCTGGACTCAATGAAAAGTATGTCGAACTTGAAAATGCAGTGGATTACCTAATGTCAGAAATGAAATTGAGTGCTAGCGAAGGAGCCAGCTTGGAACTATTCAGTAGTGCTCTAGAATTAAAGGAGGTCTGTATATTTCTATACAATAACAAAGTGTGCTCTACATACCGTGCTCTCTCTCTTTCTCTCATGCTGTTTATTATCCGCAGGTACATGACATACAAGGTGTTCTGCAAGCTTGTATAGGATTGTGCCAGCGCAACACTCCTCGTCTTAATCCGGAGGAGTCAGAGATACTTTGGTTTCGCTTTCTTGACACGTAAGCCTGACCACACACCTGATCGCTACTAATCAATTTCTTGTCCCCCTAAGAACATTCACGTCATAGTTACTCTTAAACATATGGACTTAAATCCATGTTGGAGTCAACAAGCCTGAGAGATCGCTCCTAGCTATTACTTAAGGCAAGGATGATCATAGTTTTCTCTCTTTGTGCTTTATGCAGTTTTTGTGAACCTTTGATGGATTCATATCGGGAACTGAGTAAAACCGATGAAACAAATAAAGGTCCGTTAGGTGTTAAATCATTGGAACTAAATGTCAATGTATCAGACGTTGCAATTAAGTGGCGGATCCCAAGGTCTGATGCAGCAGGTACACACGTCTTGAGGAAGCTCATATCTCAATTTATCAAAGAGATTGTTGAAGGCATGATAGGATATGTTCGTCTTCCAACAATCATGTCGAAACTCCTCTCTGACAACGGTACTCAAGAGTTTGGCGATTTTAAACTTACAATATTAGGAATGCTTGGAACATATGGCTTCGAATGGAGAATACTGGTATGTACCTGCATTTCTCTCATCATGTAATCTTGTGCATTGGTTGGCTGATCTCTCTTCAAATGTCGTAAAACTTTTCTTACCCTGGTCAGGATACTGCAAAGTCTTTAATCGAAGATGATACATTCTACTCAATGAACTTACTCAAGAAAGGTGCTTCTCACGGGTATGCACCCAGAAGTTTGCTTTGTTGTATATGCAGTTGCCCTCTCACCAAGACATTTTCTGCTCTTCGTGTACGTGTTTTCAACTGTGGGCACGCAACACATCTTCAATGTGAACCGTCAGAGAATGAGACGTCATCATCATCGTCATCACTTCATGTCTCCTCATCAGGCTGTCCGGTCTGTATGACCAAGAAGACCAGCAAAACTTCTTCTAAAGGTAAATCGTTCTACCTAGATTATGGACTGATAAGCACAGTTTCGTCAAACGCCGGACCTTCACAACGTGCTTCGCCTTACTCATACGAGAATGAAATGAGCGATCATTCTCATAACCAGCAAATATCACGGGTAAGATGTTTATAATTCTAAAACTGAAAACGTCATTGCAATTAACTAAAATGTTTACACTGTTCAACGTTACAGTTCGAAATCTTAACCAACCTTCAGAAAGATCAGAGATTGGTACAGATAGAGAGCTTACCTCGATTAAGGCTTGCACCTCCAGCTGTGTACCACGAAAAAGTGAGAAGATTCTCTGGTTTTACACCGGGAGAGAGTAGCGGTAAAGACAAAAAACCTGTCAAAGCCGAACAGGGTAAGAAACTGAAAGCAAAAGGATCGATTTTTGGGTCAAGATTTGGTAAGTCTTTTCTATTTTATATGCCAAGAGTTGGTAACTGGAATTATGATTACGACCCTAACACATCGATGCTTGATCCTGAATTTTATGACTGTTTAAGCTTTAGGAAAGGACAAAACGAGCAGAAGATAAAAGAGAAGCTTCACTATTTTGGACGCGACAAGTTTTGTGGTCGGATCTTTTTTTATGTTTTGTGTAATTAGCAAAATTAGTGCGCAGTAACTTTACTGATATGATGTATAGTACCAAATGTAATAAAAACTAATTATATAACCAATTTTCAAAAGAGTAAATTAAATTGCTTTGAAATATATGTATGTATATTTTTGGTGTCGCCTCACTTTCCTCTGTTTTTCCCTGAGGTGGTAACAGAACCATATGCTGATGCATCAGTTAAACAATTTATATACGATTTCTCTTGAGTGCTTGACATATTGTAATTTGGTTAGTTGCTCTCATTGTAATACCTTGTAAACTAAACTATATCCTTAGCAATTAACGTGAACCTTGATTAATTTCAGTCTTGTGTTACTCTTTTCGTAATGCTTTCTATTGTAAAGCTGATGCATGCGACACTATAACTTTGGTTTCAATGCTGTGAACTTCTACATACCGGAGAAGATGACACTCATAATTAATAGTTATGCTGTGATGAGAGATGCTGATCTTTGGGAAGATCCTCTTGTGTTTAAGCCAGAGAGGTTTTTAGCTTCTTCAAGATCAGAGAAAAAAGAAGAGAAAGAGCGAGCACTTAAGTACCTTCCTTTCGGAGGGGGAAGGAGAGGATGTCCTGGAGTAAATCTAGCATCTATATTTGTTGGAACAGCAATAGGAGTGATGGTGCAGTGTTTTGATTGGAAAATCAAAGGAGATAAGGTCAACATGGAAGAGACTTATGGAGGAATGAACCTAACAATGGTTCACCCGCTTAAGTGCACTCCGGTTCCTCGAACCCGGATTCCCAGTTCCTAACACTCAGCTGGGGGGGGGGACATGTACAAGTTTGCTTTCTTCTTGCTTAGGTGCACTCCTGTTTTTCGAATCTTTTAATCTGTATGGAAGATCGGATTTTGCTTTCATATGATGTAACTGAAAGTCAAAAACATTGAAATAAATTATTGCAAAAATTTGCATACTAATAAGTAGAAAGTTACATGACACGATTTGGGAGACCTAAGAATATCAAAGATAAAACTAGTGTTTGATTGATCAGAGGACTTTGGATCTCCTAGCTAGTAGCAATTGTATCATTTATGTTTATCACTAAACCATGAACAATTCGAAAATAACCTTTATACTAACAAATTGTTAATGATTTTGACTGTTTGTGTATGATCAAACAACACTTTTAAACCTAATATTTTTTTCTCTAACTTTTACTAAAAATCTATATTTTTGTCAAATGTGGTATATCTGTGATCTTCATCATATATATATGCTCCCCACTTTGAAGAAGAACCAACACAGTAAAAGTCCTATAACCAAACCTGTAAGCTTAAAGGTTGAGTTCTCTAGTTCACCACACGAATAAAGATATAATAATACGTGAAAAAATATAAAAGTTTTATAACAAAAGAAAATGATTTATTTAAAATATTCTACTTGAGAATCTTGAGTGCGTTTACGATTTCCCATACCATTCCAACGTTTTGATTTTGATCTACGAGTTGGCAAAATATGAACGTTAAGAAACCTCAACGGTAACATTTTCTGACCGTTTGAAATAATTAACATTTTTTTACCGTTTGAATTAATATTAATTAAATGAAGACAATGAACTCTATAAGTAGTACTACTACTCTTCACTTCGGACACAAATCTCTTACTCATAAATTTCTTACAAATGTCAAGTACACTCTGTTTTTTTTTTTCTTTTATTCTCTTAGTTATGTTTCTTCCACTTGAGTTCTCTCACATTCAACTTATCTATCCGAGAGAAGCAAACGTAAAAGCATCATCTTACAGGTAAAATTATTCTGGTCTAGTTCCTCTAGTCTGTTTTATACCATTAAGAGATTCTTGTTAGTCTACTCTGTTCGTTATCTTTCAAACCTTTTAAATCGAGTTAAACAAACATGGTGCTCTGCTTTAGAAATATTATCTAATGATGTGTGTCCTTAATAAACTGGTTTTAAGTTATAATACATCATGCTGTCTTGCGTTCAAATTCAATGGTGTGTGATCAATTTATATGTATGGTTTTCTGAGTTGTATATGAATATGTTTTTTTTTTTTTGATAAAGAAACAAATTGTATATATGTATATGCTCTGTCTAAGAAAACGTAGAAAGGGGTTTTAAATTTTCGTTAACAACAAATAATGAACTAGTTAATTCGTATAGATGATTTATTTATCTATTTGGATTTTTTTGGAAGTAACGTACTAATAGTTATATGCATGTTCTTGATTTATTTTGCAGAGGAAAAAACAAAGCCAGCCTTTGAAGTTTTCCAGACAGTGACTAAGTTTCCCGTCTTCTGCTTGGAAGTTACTCCTAGACTCTGTATTTTGCAGATTTTATTTTCGGATGAAAAATGGATGTATCATTTATTATGTAAAGAGTATCATAGATATATGTGTAGAGGGTAGATGTGTATGTGTAGATAATGTAGAGCGTAGATGTGTATTTGTAGAGTAGATCTATCATAGATGTATGTGTAGAGAGAGAGGAAGGAGAGAGAGAGAGGGGAAGGAGAGAGAGAGAGAGAGGGAAGAGAGAGAGGAGGGAGGGGAGGAAGGTGAGAGAGAGTATTGTGGAAACGGTTGAAGCTAGGGATGTTACCGTCGGTAAACCAGTCCGGCCCGGTCCGTACCTGAAAAAAGCCTTTGCATCTTAGCCTAAGATCTGGTTAAGATACTACCAATAATGGTGGTCTTATACAAAATATATTTAAAAATTATATATGTGACCATAATCTTTAATAAAATTCAATAAACTGTCTTTATTCTAAAAAAAACTAACAAAGTATAAATTAAGTATCAAAAATTCAAAGCATAGACGACTATCAAAACCAAAAACAAAATCATAAAACAACATTAATATAATATATCAATTTAACTTTTCTTAAAATACATTAAAATAATATAAATTACAACTTATTTTATATTTTTACATATGTTAATTAGTTATCTCATTTCTCTTAAAATGAACTCTTAATGTCAACTTATATCTTTCATAACAAGAGAAAGAAACCCTAATTAGCTAATCTCAACAAAACCAAATAAAACGAAGACTTAGTGATGGGGCTGGGATCTGAAAGTGCGTAACCACTTTGTGAGGCGGTCCATAGCTGACAAATCCGTCTTCTTGGGAACATTGGGGAAAGTTAAGTCTTTGATGAGTTGTCCGACCGCAACTCGAAGCTTAAGGCCAGCCGCGCAGTGACCCGTCTTTGAGCTAATGAAATAGTGAACTCCTGGTTTGGTGAGCTTGACTAGATCGTGTCCTGTCTTGTGCACGGCTACGGGAGAAGTCGGGTCGCAGGTTATGAATTCAAGCTCACCGTTAATCTCTAAGACGTCGTTTACTTCGTTGTTGTATTCGAAAAGTAGACTGTCTCCTACTTGAAACAGTTTATCCTCACTCCACTTGTTGTAGTATTCACTCTCTTCGGGAACGCTCCATGCTTTAGAGCCACCGACCTTGTAGATTTGGCTGGAAGGAAGGATCTTGCTCGGTGGTGGTGGAGGAATGGGACGTGACGGGTCATGAACAACAAGAACGTCGAGCCTCTGTCCCATTGTGCATTGAGCTTGGTTTGAGCTGATAAAGTAGTGATATCCTGGTTCCGTGAAGGTTACGACATCATGCCCTGTGTTGTACACGGCTTGAGGAGAAGATGTGTCGCAAAATTGGTATTCCAAAGCTCCCGGGACTTGAGTAACGTCGTTGACGGAGGGATCGTAGTTGAAGACCAGAGAATCACCAACGTGGAACTCCTTACCCTTTGCCCATTCGTAAAAGATGTCTTCTTTGGCAATCCATCCATCCGAGTCCCCGACCGTGTAGACCTTAGCCGAACAAGAACCCGAGAGAAGCGTGAAGGTTGTTATGGAAAGCAGCACGAAAAGGAAGATCTTCTTCATCGTTGTAGCAATGATCAGATGAACCAATCGATGATAAGGGAAGAAGAAAGGTTGTGAAATCTCGAACTCGCGGAATAAGAGAGAGAGAGACTTGTGTTGTGTTGTGTTGATGAATGTGAATGATGAGTTGTGAAGAGAATACGTAGCGCCTATCAACCTTTATATAATGCTTTACCGTTCCTAATCCTTTTAGGATTTTATTTTGTTTATTTCCTTTTTCTAATTTAACTGAAGATTCATTCAATATTTCAATGCTTAGATATTGTATTTGTATCTTGGATTTAATTTTGTTTATTTCCTTTTTGGATCTAAATTCTTATATTTATCTTGGACTTAAAACAAACACAGTTTCTCTTTGCTTTCTTTCCACCAATAAGATATATTAAAAAATTATGGTTTTTAAGTAATTGTAGATTAAATAAAAAAAGAAGTAACATTACAACTTGAGAGCAGCAATTGATTCGGGTTTAAACTCAACACGGAGACCCAAAACCCGTCTAACCTCAGCTGGCGTGAGTCTCCAAGTCATGGGTCCTGAGTTCTCTCCCCAAAAGTCCAAAATCTCTGATACCTTTTCCAAGTTCAATATCGTCGCCATTTGAGTTAGCCGAGCAAACTTATCTCTCACTGTTCTCTGAGTCATACCGGAGAAATGGCTAACCAATGCCCTTGTGTCTCGGTCAAGCTGAAGCCCTCCAAGTTGGCTAAAGCGTTTCTGCATCATTATGACTTCCAGTCTCTTCACTATGAAATCGATTATGAGATGCAGAAAAGAGTCGTAGTTGTTGGATGTCATTAGTGGTTGGAGCCAAGCGGCGTTTGTTTCGACCGAGTGGAGAAGTCTTTGGACCCACGGGTCATTCACCTCGTTCTCTGCGTACTCGGTTTCTGTTAACTCGTAGCTTATGGTAGCTACTGTGTCTAGAACCGGACGGATTCTTGGTGTTACGGTTGCTACGAGCTGTTCCATGCCTGAGTTGAGTAATTGCTTGAACGAGTTGCTTAACTCGCTTAACTCAGATAGATATGATTTAATCCTCTCTCGGTCTGCTGGTGCAGGAAACACCTGCGATTATGGCACGAGATAAAGAAAATGAGACAGATTTATCCAAGATTCAAGAGTGCAAATCGAAATTCACGGAACTGGTTTTGCAGGTCAAATGCTAGTTAGCATGGTATTAACAGAGCATATTACCTCTAAGCAAACAAATTATACCAAAATCATTATCTACGTACCCAGAGAAGTGAAGGAATATCCATATATAGTCAGGCAAAGTACGGAAGATAATTCTATTATAAGTCAAACCTTAAATTTCCTAGTTAACTAAATCACCAAGTATGAGTACTAAGTACTAACTAACCTCAGTACATTGCTCCTCGATTTCATGTTTTAATTTAAGAATGTACTCGCAGCTCACGTCCATATTGTTCAAAGCAGTTGCAATCTCTGTTCCGGTATTCTCCACACCGATACCGCCCAAGAATAACCTAGCACCAAGGTTAGGCTCTCTAATCTTCTGTTGTAAAGCTTCATGGTAATCATTGCCCAACAAGCTACCGGCATTGGTCAACACAGGAAACACAGAACTGATGTTTGACGTTGAAATAGCTCTCCTCAGACAACTCTGCAAAACGTAGAACACATCGTCCACCATTGAAGTGGTAAGGCTGTCTGGTACATGCTCATCGATCCTTATAGCTTTCCTCACATTCTCAACCATAAAGAACCCTTCTAGCATCACATAGTATCCTGTCACTTCCTGAACCACTTTGCTAAAACTTCCATTTCTAAATGCCTTTGTAGCCCTTGGCAACAATTCAGGATCTACCGACGTCAAAGACTTGATTTTTGACACCATGAACTCGGTATAATCCTCACCTAACTGCATCAGCGACAGTATCTCTTCCACATACAGCTCAACTTCTCTCGGGTCTGGTCCTTCAGATGCACCACCAGCGAGAAGATTCAGATTGGGGGAATTGTTAATATCAGACGCCAATCTAGATAACTTTCTAAAGTCCATGTACTTCTTCAAGATCAACGAACCTCTAGAATCACATTCCTCTTGCAATTCACAAATCGCATAAACAACACCCTCTTCTCCACAAAGACCCCTCAGGATCTCATCGTTTTCTTCAATAGCCATGACAATGTCCTTAAACAAATTGGTTAAGCACCCAACGAAATTAACCTGTCCGACTCCTTTCTCCATGAGCTCAACCACATTTTCGTACTCCATCCTCCCTCTCATCGTAATGACATTTCTCAAGTAACGAACGTAAATCTGTAACCCTTCGTCCTCCATCCCCAATGGAGAATAAAGTCTCACGAATCTCAAAATTGTAGGATGATCTCTCTGGTCTGTTGCCGCTAAGAGCTTCTTCTTCACAATACCTTCAAGTTGATTCTTTGAAGCGAGAAGTTGCTCTCTCTGATCAGAACCAGAATCCTTGTACTGCGAATCGATCTGGAGAAATCTCTGTACGAATTTCGCGGCAGATTCGTAATCCTCCGATTCCAAAGCTGTCTTCACGCCTTCAATGCAATTCCCTCGTTCAACAATCGCGTCAATGCGAGAGAGAGTAACATTCACACGAGACTGAGCGAGATCCAGCTCTCGTACCTTGCCACTAACCTGATCCGCGAGATCACAAGTCGATCGAACATTTCCAAGCATGTGATCTGCATCCGCTTTCACGATATCGAGAATCTCCGCGGATCTCTGTAGCTGAACCAGATTCCGATCCAGCTCCGTGCGCTGCGACAGAAGCGTGTCGAGATCCGAGTCTAGGCTTCGTTGGTAAGCGATACATTCGTGAAGAAGTCGCGTCATGGCTCCAACGTCAGTGAGCGATCGTACATACTCCAACGTTTCCGGTGTACCGAATTTAACGGTGGACGAATCCACCGACTCCGCCACCGCATCGTCTTGTTCGATCTCCGGCATTTTATGATTTTCTGAGTAATCGGCGAAACTCAGATCTAACTCGTTGCCACTCTCACTTACTAATTGATCAGAATCTGATATGCAGCCAAATGGGCTTTAACTAATGTTAGCCCAAATCAGGCCCAATAACGAAGACCACTAGACTTGAGTTTAAACTTGAAGTTTCAGTTTCACGTTTCTTTCTTCTACATCAGGAACCTATAAATGTCTCTTCCTCTCTCTAACAATTTTGCGTTTCATTTGTAGCTTACTAGAAAGGTATGATCCTAAACCGCTACCCGCATCAATGATTCTTGTATCACCACTTATCTCTTCTTTAATAGCATCTTCAAGAAACTGTTTGATCTTCTCTGACTCGTCTTCTTTACAGATCAATGGAATTATTATCTCCCAAGTGTCTAAATGCAATGTTTCTCCGCTCTGCATCACAACCTCGACAATATCACATGCTTCTTCGACTTTACCGAAGCTGCAAAACCCTTTTACCAAACTATTCGAAATCGAAAAATGAGGAGAAAACCCTTTGGATATCATTTCTTGTAGGTACTTCTTCCCTTCATCAAACAGTCCTTGATCACAAAGTCCTCCAATCAATGTCCTGTACGAGACCAGATTAGGCGAGCAACCGTTACCTAACATATCATCAAGAACTTTCCTAGCATCCATAGCACGACCTTCTCTACAAAACCCGAGAATCATCGTGTTGTAATGAACAATATCAGGATTACAACCTTTTAACTTCATCCTACATAGAAGCTTATAACCCTCTCTGAGCTGCGTCTTCCTACACAGACTGTTTAACAAAGTTGTGTAACTCAACCTATCAGGCACGAAACCTTTATTCAGCATATCTTCTAATAATTCCATAGCACCATTCACTTGTCCTTTCCTACAAAACCCTTTTATCAGAATCTTATAAGACTCCACGTCAGGTACAACATCTCTCTCAAGCATTTTACCAAACAGTTTGTACGCAATACTCAAATCATCATTCAAACAGAAAGCTTGCATCAAAATGTTGTAACTTCTCGTGTTAGGCGTCACACCGTGAAGACGTGAACTCTTGAAAAGCTCAAAAGCTTTCCGAAGATAACCCCTATGGTTTACGAGAACCTCCAGAATCCGATTCAGATGTTTTGGCTGTGGCGTGAAATTGAACTCTAACATTTTGTAAAACGTCCTTAAAACTTTCTCTGGTAACTTCGCTTCTGCGTAGACTTTGATCAGATACGTGAAGAGTTCTCCGGTTACTGGGTATCCACTCGATCTGTGCTTGGCGAGAACATCGTCGATGAGAGTGAAGTATCGAGAACGTCCGAGTTTGAGGATGAGGATGAGATGAGAAGATTGAGAATGGCGGAAATTAGGCTGCTTTGAAGCGTAATCGAAGATCTCCTTGGCGAGGAGAGGATCCGATTGCGAAGCTATGAGCTTTTGAACCCGAGTCGGAGACCCGATTGGAGATTTAGCGTTCGGATTCGATACCAGAGCCGAGGGTCTCGGCTCTCGAGCTTCGTGTTCAGATGAAGAAGAGAATAATAAACGTGAAAACGTCAATAACGGTGGACTGAGGTGGCGTGTGACGGCGGAACAGTCGTAGATCAGCCGGCGAATCATTAGTCGGAGTGTTTAATTAAATCGGCCGTTGAAAGTGAGAGATTGTGTGATTCAGTCTAGGCGTCTAGCAGTAATTGAATGTCTACGCAAAAATTATGTAAGCCCAAGTTATTAATAGGCTTTAATATAGACCCAATAAGGAACAACTGGGTTTTAATATAGGCCCAATAAGGAAAGAGAAGAAAGCAGCAGACTGACTCTATGACTTATCTCTGTCGGTGACTAACAGTGTCGGTGCGGTGCCTCGGTTAGTGTCTTTAAATAACAGATTCTTCTTATTGCGTATTATAATTTGTTTTGGATGTTTAGTAACAAATAAAATTAAGACATTTTGCTTCTATATATTTTTTAATAATTATATTGAGATTGTGGACATAAAAAAGGCTGTTGTACTTTTTTTTTTTTTAAACCTATGAACTTTATTTTGTTTTTCAAATTCTTGTGGTACCCAATTCATTTACTGTACCTTCGAATGGATGTACAATTGTACATATGTGTTAATTCTTCACTAGAGAGTTGATAGAATAATTGGGAGATATGATGATAAGCTTTATTTGATTAACTTGCTTAATTCCAATCTCTGGCCACATAACTGAAAAGAAAATACAAATAATATGGTATGCAACATTTTACATTATATGTTTAGAACAGGGACAAAATAGTTATAGTTATCACATTGCACAAATGTCAATAATAGTCATCAAAAAAAGTCAATCATATAGTAATGTGTAGTAGCCACATACATTACATCTCTTTATATAATTTCATTATAGCCATCAGATCCGTCACGTGAACGGTTTGCACCGAGATTTGGATTCTTTAGAAAGTACCTCTATATCAATTATAGTATTATAAAAAGTGAAAACCATACTTGTAAACAGTAAATCAAATCCCATAAAATCAAAATTTACGGCTTCTTTTACAAAAGGATTAGTCGCACAAAAGTAACAAGAACACATAATTACGACTCCAAGCTTTCTAACTTATAAACAATTAATAAAAATGTACTCTTCGGACTAGATCGAGTGTTTGCTAACTCTTTTATTAAACTACAAAATAAAAAAACAAAAGCAAAAACAAAACAAGACAAAAACTTGGCATCTCTCTACTTATCTTCTCCTCCTCCTCCTACTTAGTGAAGACTCTTCACTCTTCTTTCACCAAACCCTTAAATACACACACCTATACATACACAAACACACATATATATATATAGAGCCATGGGAGAAGGAGAAGCAAAAGCAGAGCACGCAGCAGCCAAAGCAGAACACAAGAATGCTCCCTCCGCTTCTTCTACGCCGGAATCTTACTCTAAAGAAGGTGGAGGAGGCGGCGGAGATGCTCGTCGTGCGATCTGCGGCGCTATCTTCACCATCCTCGTCTTGCTAGGCATCATCGCTTTGATACTCTGGCTCGTCTACCGTCCACACAAACCACGTCTCACCGTCGTCGGAGCCGCCATCTACGACCTCAACTTTACGGCGCCGCCGTTAATCACAACCTCCGTTCAGTTCAGCGTTTTGGCGAGAAACCCTAACCGGAGAGTCTCTATCCGCTACGACAAGCTCTCCATGTACGTGACGTATAAAGATCAGATCATAACGCCGCCGCTTCCGCTGCCTCCGTTACGTCTAGGACATAAATCTACGGTGGTGATAGCTCCGGTGTTGGGAGGTAACGGTGTACCGGTTTCTCCGGAGGTGGCTAATGGTTTGAAGAACGATGAAGCTTACGGCGTCGTTTTGATGAGGGTAGTGATACTAGGGAGGCTACGTTGGAAAGCTGGTGCGATTAAGACTGGACGGTATGGATTTTACGCCACGTGTGATGTGTGGTTGAGATTTAACCGATCGTCTAACGGACAAGTTCCTCTTCTCGCTCCTTCAACTTGTAAAGTTGATGTCTAGTTCTTAATTTTATCTTATAAATTAAAATGTGTTTTTTTACTTCTTCTTAATCTTTTGTGTTAAAAAAAAAAAAATTGTAATGTTGTTAAGAGAAAGTAGAATTTGTAATCTTTTTTTTTTTCTTTATAATGTTAGTGTTTGAGAGTCGAGTGAGAGTCTGGTGTAATAATAATAATAAAATCAATAGGCATAAGCCAGAAATTATAACTACAGTATAATGATAATTACACTCGTACTTATGATATTTGTTATTTGTGTAGTTGGATCTGTGGATATTAATTAATGGCATTTGACTATATACACAAAATATGTTGTCGGTAATAGCGTATCTTGGGCATATGGTGAGTTCATCGACACAACAGCTCATCGTGTTTGGTCAGACATATGGCATCTTCATGCAATATCTCACTCATTTGTCTTTTATCATTTATTTTTGTAAGTTTCTTACGAGTGATTTTATATAATAAATAAAAGTCTAAGAATTCGTATTATTAAGCTTTGTAATTTTCCGATTCAGTGATATGTTTTACTGTGCTTTTGTTTCGGTCATTACGATCGAGTCTGCTGAAAATAACTTATTTGTAAATAATTGTTCTTGATCACAATTTGTAAATAATTGTGCTTGATCACAACTACGATCGTTTTAAACGAGAGTGACTAGTCTAGTAGTAGTTTGTTTCTTCGAATCTTTTTAAAGTTATCGTGAGTCATTAGTTTCACTCATCTTAGCTCATATTTGAGTTCACATCTTAGCTCACTGCTATTGAAACCCATTTTATAATTATAGTGAATTTGATGAGTTAACCTGATTCAAATTTTGGTTAGTGTCATGTCCATTTATTTTGTCTTTCTTTTTTGGCAACTTATTATTATGTTATATTCAATTATCTCTGTGTTTCCCATTTTCCTCGAGTTTCCACAAGTTTGTTCTTTTTATATTTCCTCTTTTGCTTTTCTTAAAACTCCTTTTGTCTTTACGAACCGATCTTTGCTTTGTACCTTTTCATATTACAGCTTTAGTAATTTGGTGGTTTAAAAACAATGACTTTTTATCCTTGTTCAAAAATTAAGATGTTAATGTAAATGTAAGATGATTCTTTTGATACTTTAATATGTTTTTTTTTACATACTAACATATGTGAGTTTTTTTTATTTTAAAGAGAAAAACCTAATGGGTGGCACAAACTAATCTGATTTTACCAGAAAAGGGTTGGGAAAATCCTTGGTATATCCCTGGAAAAAAAAAACAGAAAAAAATGTCTTAGTGAATTTGATCTGATACACACAAACAAAAATATATACATAGAAAATACTGAAAAAATATAGATCATATATGCAGTTTATGCATACATGTACACAAGCTGGATCTTGAAAATCTGTATCCTCAAAACTGAATTTTTATTTATCAGTGAGTGTTATTAAATAATGGTTCATATTTCTTTTCCTAAACTATATTTTTGCACATACATATGAAACCATAAGTAAATTTAAGAGAAAGCAAAGAAACGAATTACTTCAAGAAAGGGATGGTCATGTTCTTGAGCGTTAAAGGATAGGTGGCAACAAAATTCTCCCATTCTTCCAAATCTATCTTCCCATCTTTTTTCCAATCCGCCTCTTCAAATGTCTTCATTGCCATAATATAATTAAGTTCAGTAGTAAACATTTAACTAAACATGTTAAATCGGCTCACAAACTTAATTAGCGTTATATATGTATACCTTTGATACGATAGAGTCGATGATACTCTCGGATAGCACAAGTTCTGATTCTTCTAGAACGTCTATTATCATCTCTTTCACCTACAATTTTAATTACCAATGACATTTATGTGTATATTAGAAACTATTAATCCGAATCTGTTCTTTTGTTTTATCCACATTTTTTCTCTTTTCTTAAAACGAATATTGCGTACCACTTCCGGTTCAATGAATCCAGTCTGACGAGTATCGTACAATCGAAATGCAACTGTTTACGAACAAGTGATCAGATTTAAACTTTTTTGGTTGTAGTTTAATAACATTGAACTTTATCTACATAGAAATGAATTATAAATTATAATAGCATTGAATAAATTAATAAAGGGAAATGAATAATCATACATATGGCTTTATCTCTGTGGGTTGAGTTTGGATGAAAAATGTTGAGAGAGTGTACAAACTCTCCAAAATCTATAGTCCCATCGTTTCTCATATCGAATAATCTGAAAATCTGCATTTTTCATGATATGTTATTTCGTATGATGAACAAAGGTCATAAGTTTACAAATTTCATTAGAAACTTTACCCGGTCTGCTGCAAGACTGCGCCTCTTGGTATCCTTGATTAAGATATAGTGAAACTTTTCCTGAAAAAAAGCCAACCAAAATCAACATAACACTAATAAACCTTTTCTTTAATTAGTATAACAACTTAGATATGTTATCAAGACTTATATTGATATTCACATATTGTGGAAATAATATTTGGTTTAGAGTCGTCTTACTTTGGTCAAAAGATTGTCGTTGCTGAGACACGAAGTGAGTTTCATGAACATTTCATGCAAAACTTCAACCTCAGCTTCGCTAACTGCAAACCCAAAACAGTTAAGATGTTACCACTGATCTCTACAAACTCATGCATGCAAAAGTATTATCGTTCTATGCAATATAATTAACACTATATAGTAATTATAGAGTGCATGGCAGATATGACTTACAAAATGTTTGAGAAGCAAGAAGGGAAATATCTTCATGCCTTGTTCCAACAACTCCTAATTGCTTGCTGCAAACACAACCCATTTTAATTACTATATCAAATATAAATCTCTAACTTATGGCTCTATACATGTGTGTGTCTATATATACGAGAACGAACCAAGCTGCGTGATTGTGGTTTGTGGAATATTATTCTATTTCTGACCGAACAAATTCTAAAGTGGGAAGGATTCATACCTTCCAGGCTTAGGAAGCTGGAGACAAATGGTATAATATTTACATAGGAATTTGATACTAATTCTTCCTCTATATTCTTTTTCTATGGTTTATATCTTTTTGTTTTGTTTCAAATCTTTTGTTTTGTTTTTTTACCGGGTATTGTTGTTTCAGTTATTGACACCGATCATATAGAACCAGAACCAAAAAAAAAGTTAATTAGTGGTCAGTTTATATTCTTTTACAAAAAACAAAAGTTACAAAAAAATGTTATGATGTTTTTTTTTTTGTCAAGCTATATGTTATGATGATTAATATTTATTATTTCATCGTCAAGCTCTACCCATATCTCCAACTTACATCTCAGTCTACAAGTATTTTTTATTATCAACACGTCAGATTCATAGTCCAGAAAGGTTCCCCTCCGGATGGTTTTGGATCGTTGATCATTATTCCAGAACATTAAAATGCACTAATACGAAGGAAGGTGAAGAAAAACTTTAATTTTTGATTGGGATATACTTAACACAAATAATATATGAAGATAAACTTTAATTCTTGACTGGGATATACTTAAAACATGGAGAACAACCGGTTTTAGATTCGACCGCATGGCCGACCGGTTAGATCCGTAAATGGTCCAGGCAGCCATTATACTTGCGAGCGATGTAATGTCATCACAACGACCACGAGGCACTAGCTAGTCTATTCTTCTTTTTTATATTTTTTCTTACTTACTTGTTACTTTTATCTTTGTTGGTTACTGACTCATCACACTATTTTGTGGTGATTTGTCGTTCTCATTACACCTTTTTGTTTATATCTTTGGAAATAACCGTATCAGTTCTTATTACAAGAAAATTACTAAGGGTAAACCTATACGTATATGGTGGGATGAAAGCATTAATAAGTGTCACTAGCCACTAGGTTAATTAATTTCTCACTCTCATTAATCCCAATATATATTTTCACCATTTCTTCCAATTTCAAGCTAGTTTTAATATTTTAGTTTTTATATAGACCGATTTAGAGTAAAATATTATTTAATTATGAAAAATGCGATTTATTCAGAATATGGAAATGCGTCAATTTTTTGCGACTGCTAGTTCCATTTATTCACTTTTTAAATAGGTTAGATCTTTCAATTTAGTTTGCGTGTTACAAAGTGAAATTTGTCTATTCGGGACTAAATTTGTCTCTTATATCTCAGTACGTAGAACGCATGTCACTTTATTATCAGAAGCCTATAGCTAATGGAAACATACGTCGATCATCAATGTAGAGTTGTTATGCTTTGTTTTTTGCATGCTATTCAATTCTAACCGAACATTTTCTTTGATTTATATTAAATTTTGTTATATCAAATGTTATCTTCTTATACGGCATTAGTAGAAAATGTTGTCTTTCTATAATCAGACTTATCTAACCAGTTTACCTAATACTTTTTTTGTTAGAGGTTTTTACGTACAGATGATTTGAAGGTTTATCATATATATTATTCCTTTTGTCCCACAGGTTCATACGTATTATATTTGTCTAAATTTTTTGTATAGTTTGGTCTAGCTGTAAACACATCAGTATCAAATAACTCAATAAAAATGAAAAATAAAAATGAAAATAGAAAAAAAAAAAAAATCTAAACTTGTCGTAGTGGAATTTTCAACCTTTACATGCATAGATCTTTCTTTTGATCACACTTTTTTAGATACCTGATCTTTCCATGTTAAATAAAGCTTGACTTAAACCCAACAAAATAAATATGATCAGCTTGACACACGCAATGTATATATAACATGATATGTTAACATAAATTCGCCAATGGACACGGAACATGGACATTGTAATGATGAATAACAGAAACGTTAGGTTCTGTAAGAAAAAAACAAAATAATAAGTCCAATATATAATTTCTTATAATTAAGTATGTTGACGTTATTAATTATCAAACAAAATTCGGTCTGTAAGGAGAAATTTTGGTTTACTGTAAAATTAAATTATTATTAGAAGTCTAGAATTAATTACGTGTTGATTAACCAATCAAGAATATAATAACATACAAAAAAAAAAAAGTTCATAAAAGGGGGTAGATGACATGAACGAGAAGCAATGTGCGTGTCTCGCATTACGGAAAATGCTAAGATTACTTGGGGAAATGATTATTTTTCAAATCAATTTTGCGATGTTAGGCTTCAGAATGAATAATCTGTTTTGAACTTTGTATGTTTCTGCAAAAATAGAACTTACTCACTTTTTTGGTTTCTTAGTTACACTGAATCATCTATGTACATCCCGAGAGTCTGAATCCGGATTTGATTTATAAAATTGAAAATGATATATCCACCAACACCACCAAACTAAAATATATTCGACATAGTTTAACAATCAAATATTATTAATAAATTTGAACTAAGGTTAAACAATAAAAGAAGATATCCAAGGTGGCAACCACCTAGACAAATTTCATTATAAATATAAGTAGATGTAAAGGCGTGTGGTTGCCAAACGCAAAGAAAAACATTCGACATTACAGAAAACAAATCTTCAAAACAAAAAAATCTACAAAAAAATCTTTATTAAAAAAAGTTCAAAAGAGAAGAGAGAGAGGGGTGATGAAGGAAGAACAATGGGCACCAGTAATAATAATGTTAATATCAAGTGTAGCAATGGGATCAGTGAATGCTCTCGTTAAGAAAGTTCTTGACGTTGGTGTTAACCATATGATCTTTGGTGCTTATAGAATGGCTATTTCAACTCTAATCTTGGTTCCTTTTTCTATTATTTGGGAGAGGTATGATCAACATTCTGATTCTAGTTATGTCTCGCAACTCTTAGATTTTGTAGCTATCTTTAACTACATGCATCTTTTTTTTTCTTTTTGTGCAACAACTACATGCATCTTTTTAAAAGTATATTTCTCTGGCTAGCTATGTCTTTTTTAAAGAAATATGAATGATCAGATTCAATTTCAGACGTCGATATTTTACCCAACTAAAATTTAATTTATCTTGTTACCATTACAACTATAAAATATATGCTTTAATTTCATTCATATATGATGGTTTGATCATTATTTGTTAAAATCATACTAATCCTTTTTTTCATATATGATTTTACCTTTACGCGTCAATATTTAAACTAACCATGAATTTTAAACTTTTCTTCATCCTTACAGTAATTACCAACATATATTTGTTCTTTTCATGTTCGATATGATGTGTTAATAGAGTCCAAAATAATCCAAATTAAGTTTTTTTGTAAGACAAGGTGAAACTATAAGTTTAAAATTATATATTGATATATATCCTCTCATGTATGTAACTATATCACCATTATGTTGTGAATATGTATAAGTAATGAAGTTTGCACTTTAAATGAGTTTGTTATAGGAAAACAAGACCAAAGCTAACGTTCATGCTTTTGTGCGAACATTTCATCAGCGGACTACTTGGGTTTGTCCTTTTCCACTTCTTCTTGTTATATTTTTACGCACTTTCCTCTGCTTTTGATGATTTTTTTTAACTTTTTAAAAGTATAAAAGAGTTTGCTAGCACGTTACCTCTTACTTTGTTTATGTTTTTTTTCTCCTTTTAAAAATAACGCAGGGCAAGTTTGATGCAATTTTTCTTTTTGCTTGGACTATCGTATACGTCAGCTACTGTTTCGATGGCTCTAGTTAGCATGTTACCTGCTATCACTTTTGCCTTAGCCCTTGTTTTCAGGTAATGCAGTTATGCCACTAACTTAATTAGGAGTGTATTAATTTAAACCTTTAAAATAACAAATAACAAAAAAAAAAGAAACTTTGCAGGATAGAGAACGCCCAAAACCTGAAGAGCAAAGCAGGTGTGCTCAAGGTAACGGGAACCCTAATATGCATAATGGGAGCAATGTTCTTGACATTTTACAAAGGCCCAGAGATATCAAACCATCATTCTCATCCAGGAGCTACTCAAAAGAACAACAACACGTTGCATAACAATGGTCACGACCAAACAGAGAAATGGTTTCTAGGCTGTGTTTATCTGATCATTGGGGCAGTGTTGTTGTCTCTATGGATGTTGTTTCAAGGGAAATTAAGCTTAAAATACCCTGGAAATAAATACTCAAGCACTTGTCTCATGTCACTATTTGCAGCATTTCAATGTGCCATTTTGAGTCTTTATAAGAGTAGACAAGTCGAAGATTGGATAATCCAAGATAAATTTGTCATTTTCATCATCCTTTACGCTGTAAGTCTTTTTTTTTTTTTCTTTTTAGAAGATGTATTATTCTTCTTTTTATTTAATATTATAGAATCTATATATTTGGCATGCTTGTTAAATATTGACAAAACGTTCGGTTTATGTTAAAACAAAAGACGAACGATCGAGGAGTTAGAAGTTTTATGTTCTTTGATATCTACATGTCATCTCATCTTTATCTATTGTGACCTTTTTCTAACTACAGACTTCTAATTAATCTCTTTCTTTTTTTTCATACGCTAGCTGTCATATAGTAATTTATTTGATATTATGATATTTTTCAACAGTTCATATTATTATCTCTATCTATCATTATTAAATGTTAACACGGTTTGGTAAATTGATGAAAAATAAATAAAACAGGGAATAGTTGGACAAGCGATGTCGACAGTTGTAACGGCATGGTCTATAAAATTGACAGGAGCTGTTTTTGTGTCGACATTCACTCCCGTCAGTCTGGTCGCTGCTACGTTATTCGATTTCCTCATCTTACGCTCTCCTTTATACCTCGGCAGGTTTATTCTCAAATCATTATCATATATACTATATAACCACAGGTCGGTCCATGCATGCATGCACTGATGATATCTTTATATTTATGCAGCGTACTTGGATCCGTAGTGACTATAACAGGTCTCTACGTGTTTCTATGGGGAAAGAAGAATGAGATAGACCAGTCTGTTTCAAAGACATTGACCACTTCCAGTGAGAAGATTGAAAACGAAGACCATATGATAGCAAATGATAAGGATATTAAATTGCCCGTTTGATATATTCATATATGTGTATATGTGATGGAGATCTGCTATCATAATCGTGATAACTGTCACTGGTGAGCTCTTTATATTATAAAACTTTGATTCACTCAATGGAGACGCCAAGAAATTAAAGATAAACTCATTGTAACGAGTTGCATTGGTACCTTTGATCGGATATAAAAATAGAGGTTTAGCTCGTAATAGTTTATGTAATTATATTATTCTTCTAAAGATTTCCCATGTAATAGTTTATGTCATTACTTATGTTATTTTTCTAAAGTTCCCATGGTAGTAAGTAAATTTTAAAGTTTGTTACTTTGCTAAGTTGTACACTTTCACTTAAAAATGTAATTAAAAAAAGTATATGATGCAACAAACATTAAACTTTGCAAATTTTAAATTTACGTTGGTAAAAGGAAAATCTCATTTATATGTAAAAAAAAAAGAATATAAATAGCTAAAAAAATACATTGTCCATTTGGCCACTGTCTAATTGATTGGAACCCATATCTAGCAATTAGAAACACAATTTGATTAACTTTTTTCAAAATTAATTAATTTGGTCATATATCTAGAGTCAAGCCAATGGAAACAAGACCATATATTAATTAATTCATGCATACCATGAGTTTGAACTTTGAAAATTGGTTTTTGTGTTACGGAGAGCTTTTGTTTGACATGAAGTTTCTATTTTTCAAAAAAAATCATAGTTCTTAAGAAAATCGTTCAGATGTGTTTAGAAACAATTTCTAAAGAAACCATTTTTATCTTATTTTTAGCTTTCTCAAATGCCTTGAAATTCTACCAATCATCACTAACGATTTATAACAAAAAAATTCTGCAAAATTTGTTGAAATCATTTTCTAAATCCTAAAATTCCCTTAAATCTCTCTAAATTTAAAACATCTAAATAAGTCCAAATCAGAGATCCAATATCCCCCACTAATATTAACTCTACTCTTACATCTATCGAAGTCTCACCAACGGCGTCGATGTATGAGTCATATGCCACAACAGATTTCAATAGTTTCGTATATCCACCACAAATGTCATTGTAATTTCAAAATTAAGAAAGCAAAACCGAAGAAGTTGAAAGCAAATATGCGCAAAAAAAAAAATTGATTGTTTTTGGTAAAAGTAAAAAAATTAATTAGAAATCACATCAATACCAACAAATATATTGAGTAGTAACTTTAAAACTAAACATATTTTCCAAAGTTGCGACTTGCAACAATACCAAAAACTTTAAACACTATAAAACTAAAGGCGTGGCTCCTCAACCGAACTGATTGGTCAGAAAATATTGGGCCAGGCTTAGGCCGATGATTAGTCTCATATTATAATGATGCGTAAAGTACTTCAATTGTTCGAGTCAATTACAATGACATTTGTGGTGGATATACGAAATAGTAGATATGATCGAGCCTTAATGCCTAGTGATTTTTCGTCTGGCCATTCCTATTTACAGAGCCTTAACCACGGTTACACACTAACATGGTCGCATGAAGTTGATATGGTCGTTTTCTTAGTATTTATTTTCAATTTGGTTTATCAACTTTGACTACAATCTAAATCATATATAGCCTTTCATATTCTCAATCGATTTTAGGTTTCTTTTGATTTTATTTAAACACAAATTATGTTCTAATTATCTTTTTGATTAAAAATTCCATTATATTTTGAAGAAAACAAATGAATTGGCGGACTAGGTATAGTTCCTGATGGAAATAAAAGCTTTATTACACTTTATCTTTCCTTTGCTTTTCCAAAGAGACCATAAAAGCCAACATTTATTAGTGGGGAAAGAAACATATGTAAAGGGAAAAAAACATTAAAAAAGCAAGAAGAGACATAATTAGAATTTATTATGAAAAATGAATAAGCTAAAAATTGTAGCAAAAGCACATATATTTTAAGAGAAATTAAATGTTAGTTTTAAACATTAGTTAGTTCAAGCGTTATACTTACAGTCACTAATATAAAAATTGTGTTGATGACAATGATCAATATACGACTTCGACCACTATATAGAGTGAATTCTATTTTATACCACTTCAATACTATATATGGTTTATCAAAGAAAAAAAAATGTTATAACATTGTTCTGTCCAACACTCTTTTGATTAAATTGTATGAATTTCCTAGTCAAATTTGCATGTTTTTATATACTAAATTTAATTCAAAATTTCAGTTAAATAGCTAGCAGAATAGTTAAACTTAAGGGCCATCAAATTTAGTAAAATACGTATCATTTTATATAGGTTGTTCTGTTTCTATAGCAAATAGAATGGATTATAGCTTCATTTTAGTAAAATACAAACGTACCTAATGAAGCAGCAGAGCTAGCAGTTACAATAAGAATTAATGGTCTATACGTCTATGTCATCTGTCTAATTCAATAAAATTGTGTGTCGCGATCTAAAAGATAAGCCAGAAGAAAATGACTAATTTTAAAATCTTACTTTATTCTAAATATTTAAAATGATAAATTCGTAATATGAATAATGGAAAAAAACAGGTGAACAAAACAAAAAGAATAATGGAAAAAACAAATTAACCTCTATATATATGCGAGTTTCTTTCCTTCAATTCATTCATATACACTGAAAGAAACCCTTAGAAAAAGAAACAAAAAAAAAAAAAGAAAAGAAAAAAGAGAGACAGATTAATTACTGTAACGTAACAGTAAGTAAGTTAAAAAAGATGGGTTACTGCGATGGTAAATGGACGCCGGTAATAATGATGGTAACGATAAATTCGGCGTTGGGATTATGTAATGCATTGGTGAAGAAAGTACTCGACGGTGGTGTTAACCATATGGTTATCGCTACATATCGTCTCGCTATCTCCACTGTATTTTTGGTACCCATCGCATTTTTCTGGGAACGGTTAGTCTAATATTATATTCATTTACTTTGTTCTTTATACACTATGTTTTAGTAATGACTTAACGATAAATAAAATTATTGATTGTTTTTAGGAGAACAAGACCGAAACTTACGCTCAACATCTTGGTTCAGCTTTTCTTCAGTGCTCTTGTTGGGTTCGTTCTTTCTCTCATTTGCGTTGAGATATAATCTATATGAAGAAATAGGCTGGTTATTTCAAAATTAAGAAATAAACCAATTTTGGTGGGTAAAGATAAATAAAAAATTAAAAACCAATTCTTTAGATTTTCATTTTATTGTTTCACCATTTAGACTTACTAATCTAATATTTTGGATTTATGAGATAGTTTTAGCAAGATTTGAAAATTGGAGTTTCGGGGTTACATGAATATATATATATATATATATATAAATTGTATAATCTGAAAATATAGATTATTTTAATTTAATAAAAATAATTAGGATATATTTTATAATATTATTGTAGTTGTATTTATCCTCACAACTTTTAGTCTAATTATAATTAATATTTTTATATATATTGAGCAGAATGTAATTTTTTAATATTAATTTTAGGGCAAGTTTTTCTCAGTATTTCTTCCTGCTGGGACTATCATACACATCTGCTACGTTAGCATGTGCTTTTATTAGCATGACTCCTGCGATTACATTCTTTATGGCCCTAATATTCAGGTAAAAAAGACAAATGTCACCAATATTTTCAAGTATAACTTAACAAGTTAAAATTTATACCCATTTCTTTGGGTGATATTTATATAGGGTAGAGAAGCTAAACATGAAAAGTAAAGCAGTTATGGGGATGGGGATGGGCACTTTGATATGTATAGGAGGAGCTTTATTACTCACAATGTACAAAGGTGTTCCCTTGACAAAATATCACAAACTAGAAACCCATCAACTGATGAAGCATAAACCCGAGAATTGGGTTATCGGATGCGTACTTCTCTTTGCCGGTAGTAGCTGTTTCGGGTCGTGGATGCTGATACAATCCAAAGTGAACGAGAAGTATCCATGCCAATACTCAAGTACTGTCGTATTATCTTTCTTTGGAACCATCCAATGCGCTCTTCTAAGCCTTATAAAATCTCGAGATATCTCGGCTTGGATCCTCACGGATAAACTCGACATAATGACCGTTGTTTACGCAGTAAGGTTTTTTTTTTTTTTTTTTTTAGGCAAGTAAGATATTTTATATTATGAACACATCACAGCGTTTGATAGGGAGCGGTAGCACAAGGAATATGTACGGTGGGAACGTCTTGGTGCATCAGAAAGAGAGGGCCTATCTTTACTTCTGTATTTACTCCAGTGGGGCTTATATTCGCAACACTATTTGATTTCTCGATCCTTCATCGTCAAATTTGCCTTGGAAGGTACGTTAAAAAGATAATTATATACATATATGAATGAATTGAATGTGAAATCTTCTTCTTGATATGTGTAGTGTTATCGGATCTGGGGTAGTGATCTTTGGACTATACATATTCTTGTTGGGAAAAGTCAAGCAAATGAAGGAAGAAGAGTGTGTAAAGAGGCTACCTTCTCACCTTAATGAAGAAGACGGAGGAGAAAATAATGAACAATACAAAAAGGGTCATCTTATGGTTGTTCCAATGACTCCTTGATTTGATTATTACTTAAAAAAACAAATCTTCACTTCATACATTATTTTGTAATACCATTGACCGGTGAGTTGCTTATTGTGTAAGTGAATTTATATATAGTCTAGGCACTTCGTTCTAATTCTACTTTTTTTTCCCCGGAATTGAGTTTTCATATATAGTCGCAATTAAACAAACAGATGAATGTAAGATAGTAAAGTTACCCATGAATATGCTGGAAGAAGAAAATGAACTGCGAGAAGGCCCTACAATATGTTAACAAAGGCCATCGTTTGGTAGAAATAAAAGGAATATACGAAAACTAGTGATTGTAACCAAACACCCAAATTGAGTGAGAAAAAATAGAGGTTCACTTTCGGCAATCCTAGATTATCTCATCATGTTCATTACACTTCGTTGCATGGGCTTATATCTTGGGCTTGTTCGTCTCGATCATAATGTTGGGCTTGAGATCTTTGCTTCACTTGGATATATATCTATTTTGGGATGAAATAGTTTGTGTTTGGTTTACAATAGAGATGTTTTAGCTAATAAGGTTCATTGACAAAAACAAAAACAACTAAACATTTCCCGTAATTTATTCCTTTTAAGCAGTAAACAAGCGAGGGAGTTGGTTTACAAGTAAATGGACCAGAGTGACGAAAGAGAATGAGAGGCAAATATTGCTTTGATGAAGCTAAGCTTTGCCTTCATGAACGTTTTAGTTTCTCTTGTCGAGGTCGTGAAACTTAAAGGTAGTCAACTGTTGTACTCAAACCTATTAACATGAAGCCACGGTTGCATGAATCATGTGATCGGATCATCTCTCTTCCTATTCCTGTTTGCAAGAATCGAATGTTTTTGTCGTTTGCTTTTGACTATATTTTCCGGTGTTGAGAGCGGATAGGCAGTACTATCCAAGTGAGTAACACATGTATAAAAAGCATGTTTAGGAAGTACACACTTGTAAATCATAATGTATGTAATGTACTCAAAGGTTAAGGAGTATCCCGCGTTCGGAAGGAAAATGATGGAATTTTGTCTCAATAGCATGAATATGTCAATGATCGAGATCTTATGAATGTATCAGATTTTAATAGCTTGATATTATGCCATTAATTATTTTAGATTTATCCTCCTTAAGTAAATTTTTGATACCATGAATAACTAAAGTAAAATTCTCAATATAAAGTTAAGACCCTTTGAAGAAGAGAAGACAAAAGTGTCTTAGAGAAGATACTAAAGAAACCTCTTACTACTCTAGTTGTTATTTTCATATTGGTTTAACATATATTATTTGTGATTTAAATTGTTAATCTGACTAAAAACACTTCATTTCTATTCACCAAAAAAAAAAAACATACTTCATTTCTATCACTAATGGAGAAGCTCATCCTCCATAAACTAAGAAGAAGAAAAGCTAACATACAGATTACATCGGTAGAATACGCAATTTAGTTAATCCTTTTTTAGGAGGATTATTTTAAAACGTTATTTACGCTTGCCTGAATCTATATATATAAAGTTAGCTTTTTCTCTCTTCTCATGATGCCACCTAAGCATCTACCTAAGCCACATTTTTTTTACATTAAAATAAATTTAAACATTCATTTAGTGCATATTTATGCTACTTATTTAATTAATAGAAAATTTATATAAATAAAAATAAATTATGTAAATAAATGAAATGTTAAATAAGAAATACTTTCATTTTTTATTAGTTAGTGGTAATAATATAATTCAACTTTCATTTTAAATTGATCATAGTTTAAAATTTTAAATGTATTACTGAGTTTAAGAATGTAAGTAAATTTTAAATTCATGGTAGGATAAAAACAACATTTATGTAATTGTATATATAAAATTTTAAAGGGAAAAAATAAAATTGAAAGTGAAATATTAGTTTATAACCTGATCAAAAAGAAAATGCTTTTAATCCAAATTTAAATATTGAAAGATAATAATTCATGAGAAAATAACTATAATATGTTTTGAAAATCAATAAAAAATTAAATATCACAATATGAATAAAAAATTAACAAAAAAATTATAAACCTCCCGCGCACAGCGCGGATCAACTGCTAGTATATATATATATTGGCCAATTCCAAATTTTTTTAGTCCACAACTTGCCTTAGTATTCAAAAGCAGTTTTTTAACATATTTTGATTCTAAAAGTAACTTTCTATACAAAATAAATTTGAATCCAGAAATACAAAAAAAGAAGGACAAAATAATTCAATCTCTTATACAGTTATATTAAACCACCACTTCTTGGATTTATTTTTAAACCGATATCAATCGTCTGCATAAAAAAGCGAGGATATATAATATGAGGTAAGCACTTAGGCAGCAAGACTCAATCCATATATGCTTTCTTCATACTTTACTAAATTTTCATATTGTATATTCACTTTATTAACACTTTATTTATTTATAAACTATTGTAGCCAAAAGAATAGTTGGTATTATTTGGCTTTCTCTTTATAATACTGCTGAGTGCTGAGGGGTGGCACACGAAACGAGTGAAAGCACTTCCAATATGTTTTGGATCCAAACAGGTTAACAAGTTCATATAGAAATATAAATAATATATATATGACTCTCACTAGTCACTCACTAGTAGTGTAATTAGCTTCAAAAGTCTATACCAAGTGACAAATAAAGGTTATCTTTTTTTTTTTTTGGACAAAATAAAGGTTATCTATAAACTTATAAAGCATGGTCTCCTCTTCTATGCGTAGCTTATTCCAATTCGGAATTTTTTTTGGTAAAAAATGATGTCATGGTTATTGAGGAAGTTGTAAAATCCACTACTATTTATCCAAAAAATAAAAAAGATCATTCACGAGTACTCTTTGGATTTTGTAATCACGACTAGCTTCTTTCCACCTCACTCGTATTAAATAAATCATGGATAATATTCATATTTTGTTACTTTTTGTTTTAATCTTTTTTTTTTTTCTTTTTTAATCTTGGTCATTTTTTAGGTCATCTATTTGAAAATAGTTTTATGCAATTAAGGTTTCCATCTGTAATCACGACTATAGCTTTTTTTATCGGTACAAATATATAATTTTTTTATTTTTCTGTAAAAAGAAAAAATTACGATGTATTTCATTTAAAAATATATATAAGAATATTATATATATATATTAGTTAGTTGAATTTATTTTAGCAAAGTCGTCCACTCTACCAACTGGGCTAAGGTGGGCATTTATAATTATTATTGGTTGATTTTCTAATCATAGAAATAATTAGTCTAAAAGCAAAATTATTGATTAACTCTTAAGTTTTGCTCTTGACCATATTTTGTTCTTAAAATAGTAAATCTTTCAATTTTTTCTCTTAATTATGAAATTATTCTTACCAAAAATCACTTTTTGCTCTTAAGAGAATATTCTTACTCTAAAAATTACCAATAAGCATGGTCTAAGCCTATTTCGGATGTACCTTTTTTTTGCTGATAAAAATAGTCGTGTCTCTGCATGGCTACCCCACGAGAGTTTTTTATTTTTTAACTGGTTTTACTAATTTCTTATCTTTTTTACTTTTTAGCAATAAAGCCATAATACATGTCGGAATCACATAGATCCGTCTTACCAAAACAAAATAAAATAAAATAAAAACCTTTAAAAAAAATCACAGAAAATTCATGCATTCTGATAATATTTGTAAAGAAATAAAAGTGATGGTCGACATATATATTAATATATATGGATTATATACATAACTCTTTTAAAATATATGAAGGAGATAAAAAGAGGTGGTAGCTAAGTTATACGTTGACTGATCTTTATTGACTAGCGACCTACTCTTACGTGACTGATCAACAACATCAAAATGATTGACTTCCTTTTTAGCCACATCAAAACAAATTATATTCATTTATACAATTTTCCATATCTTACACTCACATCTTAATTTAATGGTTAAGGTTAAAAAGTTTATTATTCATTGCGTTTATTTAGGAGAATATGATTGAAACCTACGGTCAAGAATCTTCAGAGCTCTTGTTGGTTCATTCTTTTATTTTCTTCTCATTTGAGCCAAAACTCTTAGTTTAATAATTTTGTTATTTTGTATTTTCCTATTTTAGGGCAAGTTTGACTGAGTACTGTATACTGGAGCTAGTCATACACATCGGCTACGTTAGCATAATAGCATGTGCTTTTATTAGTATGACACATCACACATGCATGCGGTTACATTTGTTAATTGTTATGGAGTTAGCCTTTAGCATTCAGTTAAAATAACGTACGTACGTGTCTTGTCTGGTATTTAAGACGATTATTTAGAAAATTAAATTTACACTAAAAACCAATTTCTATAGGCGTAGGATAAATAATCTAAATATGAAAAGCAAACAAGGATGGTGATTGGGGCATTTTAATATTCATTGGAGATGCTTTATTACTCGAACAAATTAGAAACTCATCTATTGATAAAGAATAATAAACGGGAAATCATATGGGCTTGGGCCGGTTTGCCTTAATTTTATATTGGAAGTAGATAGAATTCCAAATGTTTTTAGAGTGTGAGGATGAAACTAGAGAGACACAAAAATAAAGGGGAAAACACGGACAAAAATGTGAATACCTTCTCTTATTTTGGATAATGCTATATGTTTAAGGATATGAAAGTATCATATAATCTTTGTTATTAGAACTAAAGGAATATGTATACCGTAAGTAATGTTTGGGGAATAATTTGCTGTTTTCACGAAAACAAATCACCATGTGACGTGACACATGAACGTGTGGCTATGTGAAGGATTCTCTCCAAACATATTATGCTAATAACACCTTTCGAAAACGCTCACCTTTGTCAAGAGGCCTCCATAGCTCGAACGTCTATGCATGTGAGGTAGCACCTCGCAAAGGTCATATATCTACTACTGGATTAGAAGATTCAAATGGCATCTCAAACTTTATGTACCAATCAAGCTAGATAAGTATGCCATCAACACATACATGCGTAGCTGTTTGATTCATGCCATGTCAAAAATTCACATTACCAACACACGTTATAGCCAACACATTTAGTTCTATAGGTCATCATCAAGAATATTGTTGGTTTTTTTAACAAATAACAGATCGTATGAGCTGAATTTTAACGTTAACGTGAATTAGAAGAAACCATTTTTCTTTCATTTTCTATTTTTCAGCTATCCAAAGAGTTACGTGGTCTCATCAGTTTCCTACATGAATGTTGAAGTGCTAACTAAAATACACCACATTAGTGGGAGCACATGTTTATTTTCTCCCTTTTAGAGATGTTAGGAGACCCCCGAACAACCTAGAGATATACACTAGTTTTGGCCTTTGAGTATAGGTATAAAATATTTCCAAATTCGGTTCATATTGTGATATGATGATGTATAAAGAATATAAAGAATGAAAAGTAAAAAATAAAAAAAAAAAAGAATAAAGAAAAACAGAACAAAAGAGAAGGAAAAGAAAAAAGTAATAATAATGAGTTGTTAGCTGTGAATTCCCTTATTATTGTGATAAACACGTTTCTTAAACTGTGTACATACGAGGATATCTTTGGGTGGGAGACGGTATTTTATGGATCTGATGGATACACATCTTATTTGTAGGTTGGAAATTAGCTACACTCATATACATGATAGCTATATATATAGGGCACTTCAATAAATTTAGGAAATTTTTTACAGTATCATATTTGTTAGAGCTCCATTGGTTAAGATATGATCTTCAACCTTTTTTTTTTGATCAAAATCTTCAACCTTTTTTTAATATGGTTTTAATGGGATATGTAATTCATATACCCTAACAAAAATGCTTCTAGATAATGCACTATTGATAATTAATATATTGGCACATTCTTTAGATATCACTTAAAGTCGTACTTAATTAATTTCTTACATGGGATATTAAATCTTATACACCTCTTCGAAATGATGGTTTTTCTGATCGTTGATTTTACTGTTTTCGAATATGGATCAATAAGTCAAATTTAAGTAGCCTCAATTGTGAATCAAGTTAGACAAAACTTAGATCATAGGTTTCTAACTCAAGAAAAAAATAGTAATAAATGAATTATTCCTTCTTTTATATCTCACGTAATATCTTTACACAAACATTCTACGAACTAAATTATTTCCAACAATATTAGTGGCTTTGCTCTCGGGAGTTTCATCGATCTGATCATCTGAACAGTTATAGTTGAGAGTTGGGACTTAGGACCAAGGTTGAATGTTTACTAAGTGGTATTTGGTAATTAATTGTTTCTTTCGAAAATCTATTTTTTATTATTCAAGATTTTATCAAATTAGACTAGTTTTTGCGTGATTTTTCCAAATTTCAAAGAAAAAATAAAAACCATAATTGTAAAGTTTTAAAGGGAAACCTTGTTTTCAACTAATTGTTGTATTTTTATCTTTTTCATATATTAATAAAAATCCTATGGTTAAAAACCAATGATCAGTGGTTACTAGCATTTAAATTAATTCAGGTTATATAGTGACTCAACATTTCAAAGATGTGGGTCAGTGGGAAATCTATTTTTTATCAGTACTGATTTGAATGTCACTTGACTAGAAAGTTAGAAGAAATCACTGATTCCATTAGTTAGAGATGTTTTTTACAAAGATCGCTATAGTCTTGTTATATATTAGAGAAATCCAAATATACACGACCCAAATAGTTAACAAATAAATAAATTTCACCATTTAAAGTTATTCTAGAAGACCAGTGACTTCATATAAAACCACCAGAAATCATAATTATGCATTAAGAGAATTTTCAGCTTGGAATGCAACACAAGATGCACTCGTCAGGGTGTACTATTAATTTATTAAGGTGTCTTAACATATAAGTTTAGAGATAACTAAAGTGTGTTTTAAATTTTGATTTTGCTTTAGTAAAAACTTTGCTTTCGTTTGATGGAAAATATTGAGCTTTATCCAACTTTAATTAGCTTTCTTAAATGATTGCATTGAACTCATAATTAATTATAACAACGTGAGCAAATACACAAAACAATTGTTAATTCGATTAGTGCTATACATAGTTTGCCAATTATCATAAACTCAAGTTAATTTGGACCAGGCTTGTGCCTTAGTGATATGTAATAGTGACGCTACCGTTGTACAGCACGGTTTTGAATCAAATTCAGAGTATATACTTCGTTGAGTTAATACATATATACAATAAATACTTTACAAGAAAACATATTATATTTTTCAAAAAAGAGCAGAACATATATATGTTGTATTTTTATTAGAAAAACAGACCATGAATATATATAATATTTTGGCTACCACTCTCTTCTTACGAGAAAAAACAACATATTATAAGCTCAGTTCAAAGATAAAATGTTACATTGTAATATAAAAGAGAATTCATATATAGCTCCCAACTCGTCGTCCATAGAATATTATTTTAAACTTTTGCTTTGTCGTTTTATAAACAAATGGGCTTCGACTCAGCATATATGTTAATATATATATACATACCCACCTAGTCCTAATGCTTCACTACTCAAAACAAACAAATTTCTGAAGGAGAGATAGAGAGGGGAGAGAGCAAAAGCCAAGAGAAAGAGAGTGCGATTATATTAAGTAATTAACAGATTAGAAAGTTAAATTACTTATAAATCATGGGAGGTTTTATAGATGGGAAATGGGCACCGATGATTATGAGTGTTTTCATAAATATCATTTTGGGAATGGTTAACGCTTTGGTTAAGAAAGTTCTTGATGGAGGGATTAACCATATGGTCATTGCTACCTATCGTTTGGGCATTTCTACTCTTTTTCTTCTTCCAATCGCTTATTTTTGGGAACGGTAAGTTTCATTACTCTCTTCTTTTCCTAGCTTTCAATCTTTACATTAAATCTAAACTAAAACTTCAAAAGTTTAACGTTTGATGCTATCATCTCTATAATATATAGATCTTAATTTAAATAAATAAAAAACGTTATTTACTTGAATAAGTTTATTTTCATAATAATATGTTAGAAACTGTAAAGTAGATGAGAATTTTATGAATTTTTGTCATTTTTATTTGTACGGATATAGAATCTGAATTTTTGTATGCCTAACAAAACATATACATATTCGATTTCATGGTTTTGTTCAGGAAAACAAGGCCAAAGCTTACCATAAGCATCTCATGTCAGCTTTTCGTCAGTGCCCTTTTTGGGTAAGTTTCAGTTCCAAATCCACTAACTCCTTTACTTCTTATACTAGTACTTTTCTTGTTACCTTGTTATGTGTGTAAAAAATGTTTTATATTTCCAGGGCGAGCTTGATGCAATATTTCTACTTGCTTGGACTCTCCTACACTTCTGCCACGTTGGGATCTGCTTTCTGGGCCATAATGCCTTCCCTCACTTTCGTTATGGCTTTAATATTTGGGTACAATTATTAATCATCCGATTAAGAAAAAAACAATCATTCTAAATGAAGCCAGTATCTTAATTATGTGTTATCATCATTTCAAGTGTAACCTTACACCCTTTTTTGATAAAATTATATTTGGCAGGTTCGAAAAGCTAAACTTGAAAACAAAAGTAGGACACGGCGTCGTTCTTGGAACTTTGATAAGCTTAGTAGGAGCTTTACTTCTTACTATGTATGAAGGCGTCCCATTAACGCACTCTCAACCACAAGCAGCGGTTTCAAACAGCCACACAGGACATCAGAACTGGATCAAAGGTTGTTTGTTTTTATTGACAGGAGTTGTACTTTTCAGTTCTTGGATGCTTATACAAGCCAAGATCAACACGAACTACCCTTCTCCATATTCCAGTACCGTTATTTTGTCGGTGTTTGGTACCATTCAGTGTGCCGCTCTTAGTCTGATCAAGACTAGACATGTTGACGATTGGATCCTCAGAGACGAGCTTACCATTGTAACAGTCGTTATAGCGGTATATATTCAAACACCTAAGACAATTTTTAGTCAACATATTCATAATCTGGATCCACGATATATAATCAGACACTGATCTGTTGTTTGTGTATAACCGTTTAATTATAGGGTGTGATTGCACAAGGAATGTGTACAGTGGGCATATCGTGGTGTATCAAACAACAAGGACCTGTCTTTTCCTCAGCGTTTAGTCCTGTCGTGCTTATGTCTGCAACCTTGTTCGATTTCTTGATTCTTCATCGGGTGATTTATTTGGGAAGGTATATTATAAAATAAAATAAAAAGCTAGACTACTTAGGTTATAAAAACCCCTCAGACGTCACAAATATATATCATGTGCATGTTATGGACTAAACTTTTATTTTTGTTGCAGTGTTATCGGATCCGTGGTGGTTGTGATCGGTTTATACATATTTTTATGGAGTAGAAGTAAGCAAATAGATGAGTGTAAGACCATGAAGTTGCCTACCAATACGGTGGAAGATGAAAAGGAAGAGGAAGGCCGTACAACGAGAGGCCAACTCTTGGTTATACCGATGACTCCTTGATCAATCGATCTACTACTCCCTTAGACACTCTTGTCCAACGAGAAGGATCGAGATTGTCTTACAAGATTAAATTATTAAGAAGAGAAGAAAATGATAGTTTGATTGTTTATTGGACTATTCCATGACTTGTATTGCAGCTTTTTTTTGGATTTTAAAATTCCAAAGGGATTCTTCATTTGGATATTGTAATTTGTTATATATAAATAAACTTTATCGAATGTGACCTAATTAATAGACTTATGATGCAATCAGCATTTTGCACACATAGACTACAAAATTCTGAGAAATATCTATTCTAGCAAATTCATACTAAATATAGATATATTTAAATGATTTAGTTAGACAACGGTTGTTTAGTCGCAATTTACGAAAATTATTTTAGAACCCTAACAACAATAGAGTAATAAAATAGAGGAATATTTTTTAAAATAAAATTTGTAATTTTTAAAGGGCGAGGAATGTATGTTAGGCTACTATGCCTTTTTTATAACTTTACATTTTTCATGTATATAATAATATGTTCTGGACTTTATTTTTATATTTCTTTATTTATAAATCATTACAGGGAGAACAAAAGAAATTGCTATTGCTTTGCCTTTTCTTTATAATACTGCTGATGAATGGGCACATAAGATAAAAGGAGAGAAAGCTCAAGCCTCAAAGCACTTCAAAGAGATTTTTAGAATCCAAACAAGTAAAAAATCTAAATCGAAGGTATATAATATATATATAATACATGCAGATATAGATGACTCTCACTGATCAGCAGTCACAAATCAGGAAATCTATATAGTAAGTAGTACTGTTTTATAAATGTCGCATCGTTACACGACAAGGGGTCTCTACCAAGTGCCCTCTATAAAGCATTGTTTCTTCTACTACAATGCTTTAGAGTTTATATTATTTTTTGTTAAAGTTTAAAGTTTTAATTATTCCAGTAATAGTTTTTCTTGTAAAGAAAACAAAATGTAGAGACAAAACACAAATCCAATAACTAGTGTAAACTTGTCTGGATTCGCAATAAATCAAATCTTTAAGGTCACGCCAGTGCTAATTTCAGAGAGACGTTACCCGTATTTTAATCATTAATTCCGAATTCGACCATAACCATTTTATGTGCTTAGTTTTTTGTTGCTTTCGGTTTGTCATGTGTTGTTTTTGCTTAAATGATGTCATGATGATATTAATAATGGCTATTTAGAAGATACTTGTAAAAACTAAGTAACAACCACAACTGCACTTTGGAATGTGTAACCATGACGAGCTTCTTTTTCACGTCATTCGTATTAAATTGACGAATCCCAAATTATCGATACGATATTTACCACATGATCTGTGTTGACTATATATTCCATTTCAATATTTTAAATCAAGACAATATTAGTTAAATTTCAAGATCTACGTACATGTGTCAAAGTAACTTTTTTTAGTGTCAAAGTGAATTTTTTTTCTGGGTAAAACAGAGAGAATAACAATTAAGAAATAAAATTAATACCAAAAAGTAAAGTACTAAATTCACCACTAAAGATGATATTAGTGAGCGTTTATCTTTTCTGCATGTTTATTTAAGTTTTTTAAAAGATAAACAATCGCTTTTTTGTAAAACATGCCTATTTATTTGATGGTTTTTTCTTATACTACTAACTTATTGGTTGTCTGACCGTGGAATTAGCAGCCATAATTACGGAATTAGTTGAGTATTATAAATAGAAATCTGGTTAAGACACAAAACTAATGAAATATACATAGACGATATTTTATGGAGTGATAAAATATGTTTGAAATCGTCTCGTGGGTGCGTTATTGCGTAAGTGCGTTTGCTAGATATATTTATATATATTAACATTTGCATGGCGAACCCCACGAGAGTTTTCTTATCTTTTTAGCAAGAAAGCACGAACACATGTCAGAATCACCTAAAATCCGGTTTCGACCGCTTAATTCATGCATCACAACAAAATGTAAATTAAAGTCGGAAAGAAAAATCCATTGTGTTCACTCTTTTTCTAATATATAAAGGAACACGTAAAATAAAAAGGGGTGATGGTTATACATTGAAACGCTTTATTGACCAAGTGACCCCCCAAGTCTTAATTACGTGACTGATTACTGATCAATGACATCGAAATAATTGAGTTTTGTTTAATGCATTTACGACACAAGTTTTGTTTGCATAGCCTTTCTTTCTAGAAAGTCTCTGATTCTTTTGTTTATTTTTTCAGTAACAATAACACTGTATACATTTAGTCATTGTCGCAAACAACGATCCGAAGAATACATTCCAAAAATTTTGCCCACAAACAAATCAAATCGACTCATTAATATGTACAGAATCTTTAATTAGAAAGTGCTTGTCCTGAGGCTAAAATCAATTTTTTGTTTTTATCAAAAATTTTGAATTATGTTTTTAGGTGTTGATTCTTGATTGAGTTTGTTGTTTTTATTTATTGCGTTAAGGCAGAAAAAAATCAGCTCAACTGTTTTGGACACACGACTTCTTAGAAATTTTAAAACATATTGATAATGGCCGCATAAAAAGAGTTAATAAGATTAAAAATGTAAAACAAGAAAACCTAAAAACACTCTCTGATTAAAGTTTTACTATTTGCTTACGGTTAAACAGTATACAAACCCCATTAGTGTTAGGTAATGTTTTCAAAAAGGTTTCGAGACATCCCTAAAGTCTGGCTTTGCCAACTATTGTATGTAAGTTCTATTGCTAATTATTGATAATACTATTGTATTATAATTATTTTATTATTTTTACGAATGCATGGACAGAACAAACAAGTTGATATATTAATACTGCAAATCCAACTCAAGTTAGTGGATTTAGAAAGTATTTGCAAATGGAGGAGAGCGAAAACATATATTTCATGAAAAAAGAAATGAATCATTATTCTATAAACGAAATGCGTCAAAAAGCTTGGTCATATTGGAGTTTTTGGTCGTTCGATCATCTTGAAAGAGACAAGTCTCGGAACTTTGGTACAAATTTATTATATTGACGTCGTAGGCGCAATCAAAGAAAGCAATGCCGATCTGCAAGACTGCAACACGAAACAGAAAACGTATGACGTAACGTTATATCAATTAATTTATTTCTTAAGAAAGAATTCGAAGTGTGTTTAAATTTTATGTAAATAAAAAGCTATTGATAAAGTAGATTTTGCATGATTGAGCCAATGCTTTGTCCCGGAATAAGATAATCAATCGTTGGGTTAATGGACCAGGCACCATGCGTTACTTGCATATATAATTAAGTTTATAACTGATAATATCAGTAGCCATGTTCCGATGACATATAGTATAATATTGTCATGTTTTTTACTTGTAAACTATTTTTTTTAAGAAACTAGTTAATTAATACGGAGGCTAACATTTGGTAAATAAAGTTCCAATTCCAACGGATTGAACATTCGCTTAGATGGCCTTTATGTCTTCGAAAGAATCATTCTATAGTATATTCGTTTCAAATTATATGTGTTTTTCACACAAATATCTGTTTTAATTTACTGGTGGAAATATTAAAATAATAGAGATAAAATTGGAATTTTGAACAAAGATCTATTTAAAAACCTAAAGCGATATGTTTTTGTTATAAAGTTAAAGTTTTGCACTGACTCTTCAGATTTGGTGAAAATAGTGTATTTTCCTGATGGATGGTCGGCTTTTTCGACATATTTGGAGGACATAAAAATTGACAGAAAAAAATTCTTTTTTTTCTCTTTGTCTTTTATTTTAAGAAATACAAATGTAAAAGCGTATTTGTTGGCACGCAAAACTTGTGTCAGTTCGCCAGCTATTAATATGATGTTAACAAACAAAAAAAAATGAGTAATTCAAAATTTTGAGAAGCTAATTCAAATTTCCGAACTAATTAAATAATTAATTATGGCGTTGCATGGAATCATTACCACAACTTTTTATTTCCACAAAATCTTAAAAGAAGCTTCATTATTGGAATAATAATTTAATAATTTTCTCTTAAGGCCAAAGAACCATGTCAACCATACCTTCCTACGGATGGGGACGTGCGTGATCTGCTAAAGGTGTGGTTGATAAATGCATGTGATCGCTTTGGTCAACAAACTTGTGTTCGGTCGGAGCCGGACCCATGGTTCTGCTATTTACGATTATTTCGGGTGCTAGTTACTTAATCTTAGGGTTTCAAAATTCATAGACTCTTCGACTTGCTTGTGGAATATGAATTTGATCCATAGTTCGATACATGTGAAAAATATCTCAACTGATCCTCAAGAGTCGAATTAACATTTTCGAGGATATATTATTGCCACTTCAATAAATCAATTCGTTTTTAAATCTTGGTATGAAGGAAGGACTTAAAAATGAAGAGAATATTATTATATCAAATTTCTCATTTATAAACAATTAATGGATTCGGAAGGTCAGAGATTGGAGCACTAAGTTTGAAGTGATAAAATTCAGTTGGACTCCACGGAAGAACAATCAATGTGCTGATGTGCTTGCGAAGATGATAGTTCCTTATGAACTTCCTTTGTTTTATTACTATTATGTTCCAGATTTCCTCATATCTACTTTTCATTGTGAATTAGGGACGGACCTACGTTGTAGGTGGTGGTGGCAGCTGCCACTAGTAACCTACAAAATATTTAAAAAATTGTTTTGTTTGTAATAATCAATATAGCAAAATGGTTATGTTAACATGTGTAATATATGAGAGGTGGTGAGTTCGAATCCTGAAAGTGTCACTTTGCACGGACTTAATTTTTGGGCTGGGTCCGCCCCTAGTTTTAATTATTAATAAAGTTTTGTTGATTAAAAAAAAAAAAAAACTAGTGAACCCACTTAGAAGATTAATTAGATATCGAAGAAAAACGTGTGACATCATGTAGTGGCAAATCCTGTCTGGTGCATTGGTAGATAACGATCGTATAATCCATTGGTTAGCCACCTTAATTAACTAGTTCATCATATTGGACACGTTGTTTGTTTTTCGCGATATTTTTGTTTTCCTCATCCACTTGATAATTTGAATGTTTTTTACTCCTCTTTATATTATCTCTTAGATTAGATGAATATCAAGTGTTTCAAATTGGTAAATATTTTACTATATATGGATTGAAGGGGATGAGAAAAGAGAGGGCTCAAAGAAATAAGAAACAAACTGTTCTTGCTTTACAAAATATCATTTTTCCTACTTTTGTTTTTTTGTTTTTTAAAAATCAATCAAAGATGGTTTGCTTTTCTTTCTAGTCATTATCCACCAATCCTCTTGAGTACCAAAAAAAAAAAAAAAAAGGCTGTTTCTAGAGTTTTGTTCCAACTTTTTAAATACAATTTAATTAGAAGTGTAGCCTTTTTATCCTCAAGTCTTTTTTTATTTCCTATAAACTTGTGTGTGTGCGGTGGTGCGGATGACTTTTTTCATGGCCAACCACATTCCGATGCGTAAACAAGTATATATTTATCGGCTTTGTAACCAATTACGTAACGTATCTTTGATAGGACAACAATTCTCATTTCTTCTTATAGATGTCACTGCCGGCTAAGATCGTGTTTACTGTTTTGAGAACTTTGTTTCGTCCCCTGTGATGTGCGGCAAGAGAACTTATGTTTCGAGACAGTGGGGAATTGAATTAAGTTTGCAACACAAATGGTCCGAACACAGTTAATACCAAAAAAAAATGTCTTTTTATGTGATTGATGGGCTCAATAGATGTTACTGCAAGCAAGGGCAAGGCTATAACAATTTTAAAATATTAGGCTACTTTAAAGCTTGTTGATATAATATGGGCCTAAACAGAAATATTTGGGCCAATCTGAAGAACGAAACCAGTTCCTCTCTAACCAATGAATCTTTGGGCCTAAACAGATCTTTATAAATCTTCTGGCAAAACGGCTACTTATTTGAACGTGACACTAATTTTGTGTATGAATTAGCGTTTTTCTATTAATCTAAATATTTATTTAAAATTTGATAAAATAAAAGAAAAATCTTTCGAATCTTCATTTAAATATATGTGAAGTCTGAACACTGTAAATGTTACATATATACATATACACATGTTTTTTTTTCTTTTTTACATATACACATGTTATTAACACTAACAGATTACAGATATGAAAAAGAAAAAAAAACTCAATCTAGGTATTTGGTTTTTCTGATTATATCATAAAAATTTAATGATCAAGACATGTAAAAAAAAACACACAGAGAGATAGGGGCTATGTGGCTAAAAGAAGTCTATTCCATTGGTAACACGTTTCTGAGGCTACGAACGTCTATCATATGGAAAATAATAAAAAAAGAGATAAGATTCTTCGATTTCACATATATTTTAAGCCGTGATTTCCATGAGATTTGCTGTTGGAATGGATAAGGTTTATATATTTTATATATTTGTATTTATACTATTATTAATCAGGTTTTATCGTATGGAGATCTAAAATTAGATCCTTTTCTTGTCTTTATACGACCCTGCTTTGTTTATGTCGACGACGTATAAGTTCTACATTTGATGATTCCTTCATACATGAGCGTCGAGATATATATATATGTATACTTTGTATTTATACTTAAATTCATCGAATATAAGTACGTCGACTCGACTCTTTGTGTGGGAGTAATTAAGAACAATTAATTTGCAGTGAAATCTATATAGTCTCGTCCATGTAAAATCTATATTGTTTTTCTCGAATACATCAGGAAAACAATAGCAAAATCAAAATTAAAGGAAACCCATTTTCTAATTTTCTTAAAATGAAATAAAAATAAAAGAATCCAAAGTGAAAAATGAGACATGTTCAGTTAGATACTTAGATTTGATGGCACAAACCATGAATCATTTAAGTTAAGGAATAAACGTTTTGGGTTTTGATTGGTTAAGGACAAATTACGTTTTTAGAAGAAAAGAATTATAAACCATACCAAAGTGTAAAGTAGATTTGACATTTTGTACGCGGAGAAGTAGATTTTGTGAAAACGTAAGATTTTGCAAAATTTCTCTTACTAATTTGTCCAATCAGACCATTTTGTTGTTATTCATAATTATATTGGCTTCAGATGGAAATCAAACGGTACATGTTTTTTCGCACTTCTCCACTCTAAAACATTATAAAGAATAAACATTGAAGGATACATTTTATTACAGATTTTGTATACGAAACGTAATAATGAATTTCTATTTATGGCCAATTGCATAATGGATGTGAGATTGTATAGACAAATATAGAAACCTAACTCTATACGCCTTCCGCAAACAAGTCAAATCGAATAAAAAGTGAATCGAGAGACAATACATGGAATTGATCGTAACACAAGTGGGTAAACCCATTACTATGTTCTTTGGTCACACTCGTCTAAAATCTCATGTATGAAAAACAAAGAGTAATGTCGACAAAAAAAAAGAAAAAAAAAAAATAGAAAAACAAAGAGTAAATTCTCGTTAGTATGACGAAATATAAATATTATTTTGTATGTAACATGTATCTGCGTAAGCGCATTGGCTGAAGAAGCAGTTCACAAATGATTTTGATAATGATAGACATTTCTGTGATTTTCTAAAAAATATAAACGTACATGAACGATTTAATATTACTTTTTTTTTTTTTTTTCCAATTGGTATGCGACATGGTTTTATATTTGGTGGATATATAAATGTTATAGAAAAACTAGATTGTGTCTGTTATTTCTTCACATTTCTTCTTAATTCATCCATCGTTGGTCTATATTTTACAAGTTTAATCTATTCATTATATTAGGTTGCATGTGGGATATTGGACTGATCACTTATGCATGGTACAAAATCCAAGTTCGGCTTTGAGGTAGAATAAAAAATATCTTTAGTTTGGGAGAAGGCAACAAAAAGAAAAAAAGAAAAAGAAAAGGTAAATTTCTTTTTGGGGGAGAGTACTGTTGTTTGCCCTACAGACCAAGGCACTGAAATCGAGTTGGTATTATTAGGAAACACTTAAACGTTTTGGCACCCCATGGCCTTGCCCATGTGCATTGTTCGTCTTCTTCTTAAATGGGTAATATTGTCATTCTCTTCAAAAACACTACGTCTACACTCCAAATTGGGAAATACTTTAAAAGACCCATAAAGTTCTCTTGTTAGAGCTCGATTTTAAAAGAGAGAAAAATAACAAAGTAAATGAAATAGTCGAAGTAAAAGACATGAGAACCCTTTTTGGAGAAGGAGAAGAAGAAGCAAGAAAGAAAGGCTTTGGTCTTCTTCTTCTTCTTTTTCTGATTCTGAAACTGTCTTAATAAGAGTGAGAAGTACTGTTCATGGAAACTGTGTCCCTACCAAACAAAACTGTCCTCACTGCCATCTTCAATAATACTTTTACGGGACCCCTCCTCTCTAGTCCTAGTCCCAACGCACCATCTCATTGCTGTGTCTAGCAAGAAATAACAGAGTTACATGTATACACTCTATATATCTCTACAAAGTATATAGAAGCTTGATGACAACCAAAAAAAAAAAAAAAAAAAAAGTATATAGAAGCTATGTGTGGATCTAGCCACTTTCGAACAGTTGCAGTCAGATATATATGGTAGCGAAATGAAAATATATACGTTTAATGTGTAACACGAATGATTCCAACATATCAACGTATATAGAAGAAAATTAGTTGTATACATATGTTATAGTATGTATACTAACTATATAATACAAGTTACTATATTTTCTGGACGACCAAAATATCAGATTCCTTGTTTTTGCATATGAAACATCAAACGTCTGCGTTTACAACGTTAAAGCAAACAATGGTTTTTTTTGGATGGTGAGGTAATATATACGTTTTAAAGCGCTTCACATTGACAGTCTAACCAAAGTTAATAATAATAAAAAAGATTATTGTTGTTGTCTATATCCAAAGAAGAAAAAAAATATTTTATAGACCAAAGAAAATATATAAACCCTAAGAAGACAAGATCATATAAAAATTTGGAGAACAGGACACCTATGTATATATATATTTTGCATCCAAAAATTAGATAAGTTTTTAAAAAGAAAAAAAAAATGTAATTTGTTTTCACCTCAAATATTAAATTACTAGTACATATATTCTCCTTAGAGTTTTTTATTTTATTTTATTTTCCACCCTTTGTTTTATACATGCACGCACCCGAACTTCTACTTCTTCTTCTTTCTTCCTCACTCTCCCTTGCCCTTTCTCTCCTTTTATATATATACGTGGAAGCTGCATTTATTAAGAACAGTTTACAAAGTGTCAACCCCCAAAAGGAATGTTTTTGGTTGAGAGGAGACAGAGACGATGAAGAACGAGTTGCTAATTTGAAGACTATTCGAGGGAAGGACACCAATACAAACCCAAATTTTTTAAAAATATATTATACTTGACAAGCTTCAATTGATTCTTCTTATGTAAGTCCTCTCTTGTAAGAATACTGTTTTGTGCATTTACTTCTTCTTCCCCCTAGCTCCTTTGAATTTGGATGATTAACATTCAATGCTTTTTACAAAAAGCTTAGTAGCTTATTGGTTCTTCTCTCTGAAACATTCCTTCTTTCTCATAATTAATGTTCTATCCTCGTACACCCTCTTTGTTCTGTCTTAAGAATTCACCTTCCAAAACATTAATTTCAACTGTCTTTGGAAATGGGTAACCTAAAGTACTAATCTTTCTTTTTTTCTTTTGCTTTGTTGAAGCTAAATTAGTTATGGGAGGATTAATGAGATTTGGTGAACTAGAAGAACAGTTTGCTCAGCTTTCAGACACTACAGTTGAAGAGAAGATCCCATTTCTACAAATGCTTCAATGCATGGAACCAAGTTTTACAACAACAGAACCAAATCAGTTTCTCCAATCACTTCTCCAGATCCAAACCCTAGAACCAAAGAGTTGTCAGTACAACCTTGAAACAACCATCAAAAGAGATCCGGGTCAAACAGAAGACCCGGAAAAGGATCCGAGAACAGAAAACGGATCATCAGCAGCAACGGTCGTCGTCAAAGAAAAACGGAAACGGAAACGTACAAGAGCTCCAAAGAACAAAGACGAAGTTGAAAACCAAAGAATGACTCACATTGCCGTCGAACGTAATCGAAGACGACAAATGAACGAACACTTAAACTCTCTCCGATCTCTCATGCCTTCTTCGTTTCTTCAACGGGTAACAAAATGATTTAATGCTTCTTCAATCAAAACTTTAAACTCTCTTTTTCGATATTTATAGCTTAAACAAGAAAACGTTATTTGTTTCTTTAGGGTGATCAAGCTTCGATCGTAGGAGGCGCTATAAATTTCATAAAGGAGCTAGAGCAACTCTTGCAAACTCTAGAAAGTGAGAAAGGACACGATAGAACTAACGAAACTCCTAAAACGGCGTCGTCTACTTCATCTTCTTCTCGTGCATGCACTAACTCTTCTGTGTCAAGCGTCTCGACGACGTCGGAAGATGGATTTACGGCGAGATTCGGTGGAGGAGAGACGGCTGAGGTGGAAGCTACGGTGATACATAACCATGTGAGCTTGAAGGTTCGATGTAAGAGAGGAAAAGGACAGATCTTGAGAGCTATTGTCTCCATTGAAGAACTAAAGCTTGTGATTCTTCATCTCACCATCTCTTCTTCCTTTGACTTTGTGTTCTACTCTTTTAATCTCAAGGTAATTAAAAATCTTTAATCTCTCTTTACATCTTATTTATATTGTTTCACTTTCCCCTAGCTTAAGTATAAGCAATCTAGCAATTTCACCTTTTGAGGAAGATTAAGAATCTGCATTTAGATATCGTTTGGTTAAGAAATTTTAAATGCATGAGAAACCAAAAATAGATTATATATATAAATGTATGTGTCTTTCTTTAATAACAATTTTATCACCCTAAGATTAGAAACTGTTTTTTAGTTTTTATTTTATATAATTAGTTACTAAATTGTTTTGAATTTTTTGGGAGAGATGAGAAATGAATGGTGTTAAGTGCATGCACTTGCAGATAGAAGATGGATGTAAATTAGGATCAGCAGACTTGATAGCGACAGCCGTTCATCGAATCTTCGAGCAAATCAACGGTGAAATGATGTGGTCAAATCTTAGTCGAAGAACTTAGTTGACTTTTTGTAAGTTTTTTAGTCTTCTTTTTCTTCTACCTAGTATTATGTGTAGCTTTAGGTTACAAAAAGAAGAGAAGTAAAATAAATAAACAAAAAAACAAATAGAAGATTTCATTTTGCGGTATTTTTATTAGATTACAATGACATCATTATGAAGGTAATTTACCTGTAATTTTCGAATAGAGAGAGCTATAAACATTTAATCAGTTCTCAATTCTAGTTTCTAAATAGGGTATGTTCAGAACTTGACTTCGTTGGTCCGTATTAGAGAATGGTTACGAATAGCCCTGGGCGTTCGGATTTTCGGATCGGATCGGATTATTCGGAGTTCGGATTTTTCGGATTGGGATATATAGAATTCGATTTGAATCCGACTGGCTTTCGGATCGGATCGGTTCGGATTTCTTCGGATTCGGATCGGTTTTCAAATTTTATTACGAATCCGAGTTTAAACCGAATCCTATTTCGGATCGGTTTCGGATTCGGATTCTACACTATAAATCCGAAACTTACACTCTAAATCCGAACAATCCGACGTAAAAAAGAGGTTTGAGCGTTGGGCAAAAACATAGAGATTATATGTATACTATGTGATGTATTAGACCATGTGTATTCGGGTTAGCAGATAACCGATCGGATTTCGGTTCGGATCGGTGTAAATCCGAAATCCGAATCATGTTCAACATAAAATCCGATCGGTTTTTACATAGTAACCGAAACCGATCCAAATCGGATTTTTCGGATCGGTTCGGATCGATTTTGTCGGATTCGAATTATATGCCCAGGGCTAGTTACGAAAATGGAAACAAATACAATTTAAAGCTGGAAACATCATTACAAAGAACACAAGTCGTCTTCACACTTAGCATTCTCATTTATTTATGCAATATTTACTTTTTGGATTATATATCTTCCATGCGTCTGACAAAACCCTATGCTCTCGATAGAAAAGGACACAGCCAGTGCCTATATATTAAATTAAAAACTTTTTTGTTTGTTTTTGTTTTGGGTTTTTGTAATGACACACTAGATTTACTTTTTATCTTTTACCACTTAGCAAAACGATGAGAAAGGCGACAGAGACAAAATTTTAATATTCCAAAGAAAGCATCGTAAAAGGAAGTCTATTGACACATCCGTCTCACTTTGTATTTTGTACGTAAAACTTCAGCCTCAGCCTACAACTATACATTTACTTTTTCAAAACTTTAGTTTATGTCTTGATTTTCGGATATTTTTAAAACATATTTTACTTCTTTATTTTGAATTAAAGTAGTGTAAAATCGAAAAAACTAAAAATCAGAATAAAGCTATAAGTATTAAAATTTCTGAGAAGAGAAAATAATTATTTGAATACTATTGTGTGTGAGAAGAGAAAGAGTGAACGACAAGATCAGACGTCAGAGATCAATAGACTGGTAACAACTCTGATCTTTTCCAAAACTTTTGGTCAAAGTCAAACCATTTCATCATTTTTTTACAGTAAAGTTTTTTTAATTAAAGTAGAAAAATAAATAATTACTTAGTAAGTATGCATATTATATAGTCATGTTATTTTGGGCTCCAAACAAAAGCCCTTATAGATATTGTGAAAAGAGTGAAGCCCAGTTAACTAAAGATATAGGCATGTGTTAAGCCCAGGTTAGGGAAAGCCTAATTTAAGATTCTGAGCTTTATTACTTTATATGACTCAAATTCGTGAAATTTTAGGTTTTGAACGAACTCGGGTTTGATTCGAGAGTTTATTTTATTTTGTATTGAGTTTTGTAACTTGAGGGATGTGTTGGTTAAGTTCTTTAATGATTGTTCTTTGATCTTTTTTTTTTTTTGAAGAATATTTGTAAAGAGTTTGTAGATTTTCTTGAATTAGATACTGAGGAGAATTGGTCAACGTACGCACAATTAACTTCACACAGAAATTTCAAACTTTTAATAGAATTATAACATTTACATTAAGACTTTTTAAATCATCAATTTGATCCTTTCACTTAGTTGTCTATTACGAATATGACTTTTGATAATTCATACGCATAGAATAATGGGGTTTTATATATTTGTTTTATTTATAGGTTTATGTGAACTCACATAGCTAAAGCCTGAAATAGTGAGTTTTCTATGTAAAATAATGTTGTAACATGGTATTAAGTACAACCATTAACATATATATCTGTGTTTTGAATCCACGATGAGTTATTTATAATACTAATCATAATGATTGAGGGCATGTATAGATATTAGATCGAGACTCGACGTCGACGGGATCACATCTCGTCACCGTACTTTGGCTTGAACGTGCAAGCGACTGCCAAACGCGTTTAGAGGAAAGACCGGGAAACCCGAGATACCGTTCATACTCTCACACAATATTCTAATCTTATTAAGTTCATATTTCAATCTAACAATTATAACAATCTTCTTATCTAAGTTCATTTTAAGATCTGATCCAAACCCAATTTTGTGACACATATATACGGCATTTCCACAGAATGTAATTAACAATATACAATCTTGAATTCTAGATATATTCACTTCTCGATTAAACTAAAATTTCTTGCATTCTTGTTTCATTTCTATGAAATTGCTTCTTTTTCTTTTTTATTTGTTTTAATACTTAAATTCACTAAAATATTGTTAAACAAGATTCACATATTAGAACGTGCATGGGCCAACCAACATGGTAATGCCGGGTCTCCATGATCCCATTATATTAGTATATGTTTTCTCACCAATATGGAAGCATCATCTCAAGAATATGCCATCCAATAAAATTCTTTGTACATGAATTCTTACGTGTATTAGAATACTACGTAAACGTCACATAATTTATTTTATCTATTTTTTTTTTCCATCAATCGATTTATTAATTACTTAAAAACAACATATGTAGTAAAATCAACAATTCAGCCACACGACTAACAAAAAACATTAGAAAAAAAAGACGCATGAGAGAATAAATAACATCGATATCTCTCAGATTAATACCCTTAGCTAGGTAGGGCGCCCCAGCAGCTTTCTTGTTTTACAAGAAACACAAAGCCCTAACTTAGAAATCATTAGAAGGAAGTGGTTCATGCCCGTTACTACTGATAAAGATAGTGTCATAAACAATAGCTGCAATGCCTGCACCTATAAAAGGACCAACCCAATAGACCCAATGATTCGTCCAAGTCCAGCTAACCACGGCCGGACCAAAGGAAACCGCCGGGTTCATCGATGCTCCATCGAACGCACCACCGACGAGAATATTAGCTCCAACGATTAACCCAATCGCTAAAGGAGCAATGATCCCAATATCACCTTTCTTGGGATCTACGGCAGTAGCGTAGACAGTGTAAACTAACCCAAACGTCATAACAATCTCGAACACGACAGCGTTCCACGGTGTGACTCCATATGATAGCGAAAAAGCTGACGTTTCCATACCACCTGTGCTTACCTTAAGCAACAAGCAAGCTACGACAGCTCCTAGTAACTGAGCGATCCAATAAAGAATAGCTCTTAACAACGTAATGTTTCCGCCTATGAAAGCTCCGAACGTAACCGCGGGATTAACATGGCCGCCTGAAACGTTTGCTCCAACGGAAACAGCAACGAACAACGCAAACGCATGAGACAAAGACGCGGCCACAAGACCGGAAGGTGTGGCTGGACCATCTCCGGTTAGCTTTCCATAAGCCATCCCAGAGCCTTGACCCGCGAAAACGAATATAACCATCGAGAAAAACTCAGCAAAAGCCGCTCTAATCGCGTCGGGGCGACTAGCTTCTCCCGGCGTTCCAATAGCGATTCTGTTGATAGCCATTGTTACTAATACAGTTTTGGTTTCTTCTTAGCTTTTGTTTTGTTCTCCACTAAGTTTATATAGTTAAAGGGGGGAGTGACACGTGTGTGTTGGAGAATCGTTCAAAAGACTGAGATCAGTGTTTTACGGTAGACCCCAGCTTTTTTTAAGAGATCGAACGGTGATTAATTAAATCATAATTGTGATTAGTAACTTACTTATTTAATTAAAGCTTAATCCGTTTTTCTCGCTTTCTATAAATACCAATTATGGCTTGTAGTTGAAGAGCACGCGCTTCACTGTTTTCTCTTCCTCTTGTGTCACTTTTTTCTTATTCTTTCTCCATAGTTTCCGCAAGATTGTTCTGTTCTTGAAAACTATTCCAAGGTACGACTTTTTCTTTTCTTGGTTCTTTTGATCTCAACTTTTTTGTTGTTTTGATCCTCTAGATTTTGCATCAAACGATATCATATGTGTAGTTGGATCTTGTAGATGATTTGTTGATTTGTATCGAACAAGTAGAATCTGATGTAGATGTTAAGTCTTTGGGTGATGGATCGTGTGTGATCATCAGCATCATGGCTAGTTAAAGATTCGATCTTGACTTTAGATTAGAAAGATTCTAAAATTTGGTTCTGTTTTTGCTCTGTTTTTTAATTTTAGATGAGTGGAGAAGAAGAAGTGAAAACGAATCAGTCTCAGAAGAAGCTTCAGCAACCTACTCCACGTTTGAACGAGAGGATCCTCTCATCTTTGTCTAAGAGATCGGTTGCTGCACATCCATGGCATGATCTTGAAATCGGTAATGAAGATTTTGTGTGTTTGTAATCTTAATAGCTGGCTGATTTAGAGTCTTTTTAACTCAATTGTTATATGTTATGTGTACAGGACCTGGAGCTCCAGTGATCTTCAATGTGGTAAGTATTATGCTTGATTATGGACTTTTGTTACTTGGAAAAGATCACAAAGTGAGAATCTTGAATCATATTGACTTTTTGAATGTAAAAATCAGGTTATTGAGATCTCAAAGGGGAGCAAGGTCAAATATGAACTTGACAAGAAAACAGGACTCATCAAGGTAAAAAGATCAAACCAAATCTTGGAAAAGAAAAAAAACACAGAATGATCTGGTCTTGTGGGGAAACAAATCTTTAAGTCTTTGAATGTGTCTCTCTCAGGTTGATCGGATTCTGTATTCATCGGTTGTGTATCCCCACAACTACGGTTTCATCCCCCGCACATTATGTGAAGACAATGACCCTATGGATGTTTTAGTTATCATGCAGGTTTGACTCTAATCTATAAACCTATATGAAAATTTGATGATACGGCTGAAACAATTCTCTTATCATCAAAAGTTGATTTAAATGTACAGGAGCCTGTGCTTCCAGGTTGTTTCCTCCGCGCTAGAGCTATTGGTCTAATGCCTATGATTGACCAGGTAACTAAACACATCCAACATGGTTCAAGTTTGTGTAGTAATCATTAATGTAGCTAATTCTGAGTCTTTGTAATAAAAAGGGTGAAAGAGATGACAAGATCATTGCAGTATGTGTTGATGATCCTGAGTATAAGCATTACACTAACATCAATGAACTCCCACCTCATCGTCTCACTGAAATCCGCCGATTCTTCGAAGACTGTATCCTTAAACACTATATATGTTATCTTCAATCTTAATTCTTTGTTTAGGAATTAACAACACCATTGCTCTTTTCTTTGGTTTTGTTACCTTTAACCACAATATAATCAGACAAGAAGAATGAGAACAAGGAAGTTGCAGTGAATGACTTCCTACAACCTGGTCCTGCTATTGAAGCCATTCAGTACTCAATGTAAATATACTTTCTTATTACTATAATTTCCAAATTTTGAATCTTTATAAGCAAAATCTTGATATTGAAACCATTCACAGGGACCTTTACGCTGAGTACATTCTTCACACCCTGAGGAGATAGGTAACAAGAAAAGGGACTTCATCAAGAACATTCCTGCCAAATTTTTTGCTCTGCAATCTCAGATTCTGTTACAGAGCAACAAGAAACAAGAAACAAGAATTTGTCTGATATTTTGGTTTTTTTTTTTTTGTCATTTGGAATAAGCACGTGTCTTCTTTGTTGTTGTTTTCTTCTGGGGAAGCCTATTTTTTTCTTTTTGTCTGAACGTTTTAAGAGTTTAATTTTCTCAATTTGTATTTTGTAACATTGTCTTCTTTTTTATTTAAAAGAAATAATAATTTCAAGGTTCGATTTGGTTCCAATGAAACCAGAGTTTTTATATAATAGTAGTAAGTGTCACTGTCATTTTAGAAGAGTCCCCCACCCACATTTGTTTTGTTTTCCTCTGAAATCCAAATCCCAATAGATTTGCAGAATCAGAATGAGAAATTGTCAGGTGGTGCTGAACTCTCTTCTTCTTCTTTTGTCAGATAGTTGGATCTGCTGCTAACCCAAACTGGGCCTGGCCCAGTAAAGATCATTACACTGTCACTATATATATATTTATACATTATGAAACTGTATAAAATGATTTTAATGAGAACCAAAAAAAAAAAAAAAAAACCAAAATTGAGTTGAACATCACATTTACTTTGAAATAGAGGAAGTACACTATCAGAAAAATACACATATTTATATAAATATTTGATTTTTCTATGTAAAACTATAATTATCCGAATGTATTGAATCAGAGTGAAATGGATATTACAGAACCCTATATTCCCATGCAGCTTGACTACATAGAACCCTATAAGACCCATTCTCCATACATATGCATTAATACTATATATCATGCACACCCATACGCACACATTTCAAGTTTAATCTATTAGTATATCATTGACTTACGCTTACATTGATTCTTGAAGTTTTCAGTTGTTTCTTGGTTCCCAGAATGAAACTGGACCGGCTACTTCCACATCATAGCTAGAATAGCTACCCTAGTGATGCATCTTAATAAATATACTTTTGTATGTTAACATAAATATATCGCACTTTTTTTTAGACGTACTATACGATATTTCATAAAGCATTACTTGTTTTCTAAAGGGGACCAAACTAATTCCCTAACATTTTTCGATGACAATAGAAAAGGTCGAAATATAATTAATGAAAAAAAATCCTCCAAGGACCAAAAAAATATACCTCCAAGTTGAACAAAGTAAATAGATAATATTTTGAAAAAAAAAAGAAAAGAAATGTGTGAAGGTAAAGCGTGGGAGGCTCTTTTGCGACAAACTCTACATGGACACAGTGGTCCAATGGTCCTTACTCTAATCGTTTGTTGAGACATTTTATCATGTTATCATTTCGGAAACGTTTTATATATATCGTACATAAGATGTATATGTCAAAGATTATTGGCCAATCTGAAACGTTAAATGTTTATGCAGCTAGATATATATATATATATATATACATAACTTAATAGTGGGGGTGTGATGCTACTTAATTATCTATCACTTTTAGGTACTTATTAACCAGGACAATGCTAACAAATTTTTAAATCATATTCCCGGACTTACTAATCATTTTAAGTACACTTTTTTATATATAAATCGTGTAATTCAGACAGCTCGACTAATTTCAGGGTATGCAAGTTTGTTCGGGTACAAACACACCATGTGAAGCATCTGGACCAACCAACACTTACAAAAACGAGAATATGAGTAGATAAGCAAATTAACGAGGTTCGGCAAAACATGTATATGTCCTCCTCATCACATTTCAATAGTTCAAAGACTAAAATTTTAGATTCGTTGATGTTCGTACTTAACTATATCATACTAAAAAAACAACTAATGTGTGTGTCACTTTAATTCATATTGCAACACGGTCGGAAATAGAAAACGTACACCACATAATTACAAAAGCTTTATGTTGATCTCATAGTTCTTGATCTAAGCTGTTTCTTCTAGTTTCATTCAGGCTTTTTAAAGTTTTGAAAGCCTACTTAAAAATCCCCTTGCCCCTAAAGCTTTTGTAATTAACTTTTACGTGGGAATAACTAGTACTATTCACAATTTAATTATCCCCAAAAAATGTTATTATGCGTCATATATATATGAGTTACGCTCCACTTATCGGATCCATATGGCATCAAAAGTTCAAAACTGCAATCGTTTCACATACCAACTATCTTGATATTTGCTTTTTATATGCAAATAAAAGAAAACTAACAACCAAATTAAAGGCAATCCTGGATTAAAAAATTTCAAATTAAAATCTTTAGACATGAAGTCATACATCGATTGATTTATGTATATATATTAAATTTCAAAATGCCTTATTGTAATTCGTTGATGTTGATGCAAATAATAATGTTGGGTACCACAAAACATGGACACACATAAACAAAAGCAACCAGAGTTACTTGAGTTTTGTACTAATCATCATAATCAGACCAATTAATTGGACCAAATTATTTATGTTTTTCTTTACATAAAGATTATCTGATTTACTCAGGCATGCATGGATGATAATCCATGTGCTTTGCTCAGATCTGACAGGTAAATCTTATTAGGAGAAAACGTCAGATTAATACAATTTGTTTTTATAACTAATTAAGATAATGAAAAGAAAATCTGTAAAAGTTACATGTGTTTACATTTTGACAAATTTAGACAAGTATACAGATATAGTTTTAATTAAGATATTGGATTGAAATCCCCTTTTTCATGTGTTTACATTTTGACAAATTTAGACAAGTATACAGATATAGTTTTAATTAAAATATTAGATTGAAATCCCCTTTTTGTTAAAACTGGAGATACTAAACCAATTACCACAAAACTAAATAAATGTTATCTGAAATATCTAGAAGACTTTATTGGTCATCCACCTGTAGAGAAAAATATGGTTACCACCTGAAATGTTTACAGATTTTACTTGAAAAAAATCTTTAATATATTTACAAGTTATAAAAAGTGACTAAAAATTAATAAAAATATATTCTAAAATATAATGTTTTGACCATTTTTATCATTGATTTAAGACCATATCTGAAAAGTTCAAGAATTTCACTTTTTAGGTTTTCTTTTTAAAAACAAAAAAAAACAGCAATTTTTGAAAACAAACTAAAAATATAGTAAAAGTCTCATTATAAAATAAATATAATATTTTATTAAGATTTTCATATTTGGATATTTTAAAATAGGGAAATAGAAATATTTAACATGGAAATTATTATAATAATAAATTTTAATAGATTCACTAATATATTTGATATATTTATTTTTCTAATTTTCTAAAGCATATTATTTTAGTAATCTATTTTTAATTTTTAATGTGTTTTCATAAATGTATAGATAAAAATATTGCTTAGTTGGTCAATGTCTATCTTGTAATCTATTTTTAAATTTGTTCATGGTCTTTTTACATATTTCTAATACACATATATAGCTATTAAATTAACTATTTCCACGCGTCCGAATCATGCATAAAGCAGTATCTAGTAAATCTATATTTTATTAGCATCTAGTTGTGTATGTTGTATTTGTCTTTGCACATAATTTAGCTAAAATATATGAGAAATTAATTGGATTAAGCTAAAAATAACTAGCAAGAAGAAACCAAGAAACAAAAGTCATAAATACATATAAGATCTTATATGAGTAAAGATGAAATTAAAAAAATAGAGATATCTAAAGAAGGGAAAATAGTGTCACAAAACATTGACACATATTTTGCCTTACCTATACACACAATACATGTAAGCATATATGTTTGTATATCTATATAAATAGGTAGAGTTACCCCAAGTCTATAGCTAAATTGAAAAGGACAAGAAGCTCTCACATGACCCGAACCATATCATTCATGGGTCCCTTTACTCTTCTCTAATATTTGATCTTCATCTCTGCCATCGAGAAAACAAAAACTCTTTCAAGCCCACTACGAACACTTCTTCACCCCTTAAAAAGTCACAAAGAGAGAAGAAAGAGAGAGAGAGAGAGAAGCCAATTTAACTCGAAAACATTGATTTCGTTTTCATTTATTTACCTTTTGGAGTCAACGAAAAGATCAGAAGAAGGAAGCAAACACAAAGAGTACGTCTGTCTTCTTCTTCTGGATTCTAGGGTTTTCTTTTTCACCTTTTTTTTGTTTTTGTTTTGCTTGTTCTTCACTTGAATTTTAATTTTTTTTTGCTTTTTTTTTTTCTTGTTCTTCACTTGATCTTTAATTTTAATTTGATTTCTGATATTATGATCTCATGTATGTTGAAGGATTTTGTATTGGGTCATCATCTTGTCAACAATCACTACTCATCAGATCCATAAAAATAAAGTTGAGATACTTTTTGAAAGATCTTGAATTGGTCCATCTTCTTGTCAAGAAACCCATTAGAACAGAAAAAGAAAAAAAGTTGGATACTTTTGAAAGATCTTGAAATGAACATGTCAACAATGAATTCTGAACAAGAACTCGCCGAGAACGGAGCTGGCGGTTCCGGCGGCGGCGACAATAATTACTTCTACACCGCGGAGATGCGAGAGCACATGTTCGACAAAGTGTTGACACCAAGTGACGTCGGTAAACTAAACCGGCTCGTGATCCCAAAGCAGCATGCAGAGAACTACTTCCCTTTGGAAGACAATCAAAACGGCACAGTGTTGGATTTCCAAGACAGAAACGGCAGGATGTGGAGGTTCCGTTACTCGTACTGGAACAGTAGCCAAAGCTACGTGATGACCAAAGGCTGGAGCCGTTTCGTCAAAGACAAGAAACTCACTTCCGGGGACACTGTCTCTTTCCACCGTGGCTTCATCCCCGACGACAACGCACCGGAGAGACGGCTGAAGATAATGTTCATCGACTGGAGGCATAGAGATACCCATAATAACTACGGCTTCGGGTCTCCACCATATCCAACGGCTAGCTTTTATCCGCCGCCACAGTATCCCATGCCATTGCCAAGCTACCGGAGCTTCCCACCCTTTTATCATAACCAGTATCAAGAAAGAGAGTATCTAGGTTATGGCTATGGTAGACTTGTTAACGGAGGGCGTTACTACGCAGGAACACCGTTGGATCATCATCATCATCATCAGTGGAGTCTTGGTAGATCTCAGCCGTTGGTTTATGAATCAGTTCCTGTTTTTCCTGCGGCAAGGGCACCACCACCACCACCGGCGCCTCCTCAGCCGCCAATAACGAGGAGGCTGAGACTGTTTGGGGTTGACGTGGAAGAGTCTTCTCCTTACGTGGAGACACGTGGCGAGATGGGAGTGGCAGGACACTCTTCGTCGTCTCCGGTCGTGATCGGAGACGATGACCAATTATCTTGGAGGTTGCCAAGTGGGGAAGTGGATGCATCGACTTCTTTGCCGATGCAGCTAAGTGATGATGAAGACTACAAGAGGAAAGGGAAGTTTTCAGAGTACTAAAGATAGAAATAAAATAAGAAAGTATTATCCCATTATACATTTTCACCATTTTCTTTTTAGTATCTCCTCTTGTTTCCTTAGTTTTAAGTTCGTTTCCAACTTTCAAATAATTAGGTCATTTTGCAATTGGGGAATATTGTAGTGGGACAATATACCGGTTTTATATTTTATATATCTATTTTGGTTTTGATTTTTTTTTTTTCAACATGTTCCTTGAGCCCTAATTACCATGTTGAATAGAAAAACTCATCTTCAATGTTATATTAAGCTTATATTTAAAAATAAAGATAATTAGTCTAATTAAATCTTTTGACTATTGTACTAAATCATATTGAGCTGCACCTGCATATACCAGTCCCATGTATCAAAAGTTTTTATCTTATTTTTTGATTAATTGTTTGTTTACATAGTTTGAGATGTAGAATTGGGAAGGAGAAGATAAGCTTGTAAGTTCTTATGATGAATATTGTACTCTCTGTGCCTATCTCTAGGCAAGCAGACAAAGTTTCATGGTACATTCTAAGCTAATGGGCAGTTTCTAAAGTCTCTTTCTCTCTCCCTACCCATGGTCCAATTTTAGTTTGTTTGGTTACTATTGTCTTTGCCTGGTTTAAAGAGATTTGTAGGTTATGGACATAGAACAAAAAGAGAGAAGCCATGGAAGGACAATTTCAGTTTTTTATAATAATTTGGCAAAGCATATAAAAAAGATATGACATGTTCTTTCATTTTTTTTACTTTATCCCAAAAAGAAAATTTCTACTATATATTTATTCTCATTTACTTCGTTGCTTTCTTGTTTTGATGTTTGCTTATAACTGTTTCATCCGTACGACCGTACGTGTCTTGTTTGGATTTATACTAATCGTATAATAATTCTTTGCTCCATACTTCAGTCTTATTTGGGTTTTAAATCCTTTGATTAAAACCTGCAAAAGAGAAAGCTGGAATAAGTAAGAAGAGAGCTACAGAAGCAGCAAAAAGAAGAAATTTGTTGGTTTCTTCTTACTAGTTATTTTTAGCTAATCAAATTTATTTCACATGTATTATAACTAATATGTGTGAGCAAAATAAAAATAAAAATAAAAATAAAAATACAAAAGTATATTATTATGGTATTAAATTACTAGATATTGGTTCATGCATGTTTGGACGCGTGGAAATTATATATTAAGAAAAAATTGTTGGTTTCTTTTTACTAGTTATTTTTAGCTAACCAAATCAATTTCTCATATAGTATAACTAATATGTGTGCGCCTAAACAACCATACAAAATTATAGTATTATGGTATAAAGTTTTACTAGATATTGTCTCATGCATGTTTATACGCGTGGAAATTATATATTTAGAAGAAAATTGTTGATTTCTTGATAATAGTTATTTTTAGCTAATCAAATTAGTTTCTCATATATTATAACTAAATTGGGGGCACCTAAAATAACCATGCAAGAGTATATTATTATGATAAAAATTTAGTAGATATTGTTTCATGCATGTTTGGAAGCGTGGAAATTAAACATAGAACAAAAAATTAAATATATTTTCAAAGCTTTTGTTCCATCAATCAGTTTTGTTTGGATTTTCAAAATTATTGATTTTCAAGTCAAATAAGAGGATTAGATTTTTATTATTTTAGTAAGTACTTAGAAAAATAAAACATATAAAAGAAACAATTAACTTTATATTTTTTAAGATAAGAGATTTATAATTTCAGTTGCCTTACACTTTGATAACATTAGTGATGGTTTAAAAATAAAGCTTGAGTAAAAAAAAAAAAAGATAAAAGATAAAAGATATATATATATATATATATATATATATATATATATAAATATATGATCTAACTATATATTATTCATTAAACTATATATATTTTTAAACACTAATAAGAAGAAAGATAAACATACAGTAATGCAAAAAAATTCGATCAGAAAGAGCAAAGAGAAACCGTGTTTGTTTTAACTCCAAGATAATATGTGAATTTAGATCCAAAAAGGAAATAAACAAAATTAAAATCCAAGATAATACAATATGCTTTGAAATATTGAATGAATCTTCGGTTAAATTAGACAAAGGAAAAAACAAAATAAAATCCTAAAAGGATTAGGAACGGTAAAGCATTATATAATCGTTGATAGGCTCTACGCATTCTCTTCGTAACTCATCATTCACATTCATCAACACAACACAAGTCTCTCTCTCTCTTATTCCGCGAGTTCGAGATTTCACAACCTTTCTTCTTCCCTTATCATCCATTGGTTCATCTGATCATGGCTACAACGATGAAGAAGATCTTCCTCTTCGTGCTTCTTGGCATAACAACCTTCACGCTTCTCTCGGGTTCTTGTTCGGCAAAGGTCTACACCGTCGGGGACTCGGATGGATGGATTGCCAAAGAAGACATCTTTTACGAATGGGCCAAAGGTAAGGAGTTCCACGTTGGTGATTCTTTGGTCTTCAACTACGATCCCTCCGTTAACGACGTTACTCAAGTCCCGGGAGCTTTGGAATACCAATTCTGCGACACATCTTCTCCTCAAGCCGTGTACAACACAGGACTTGATGTCGTAACCTTCACGGAACCAGGATACCACTACTTCATCAGCTCAAACCAAGCTCAATGCACAATGGGACAGAGGCTCGACGTTCTTGTTGTTCATGACCCGTCACGTCCCATCCCACCACCACCACCGAGCAAGATCCTTCCTTCCGGCGAAATCTACAAGGTCGGTGGCTCTAAAGCATGGAGCACTCCTGAAGAGAGTGAATACTACAACAAGTGGAGTGAGGACAAATTGTTTCAAGTAGGAGACAATCTACTTTTCGAATACGACAACGAAGTAAACGACGTCTTAGAGATTAGCGGTGACCTTGAATTCATAACCTGCGACCCAACTTCTCCCGTAGCCGTGCACAAGACGGGACACGATCTAGTCAAGCTCACCAAACCAGGAGTTCACTATTTCATTAGCTCAAAGACGGGTCACTGCGCGGCTGGCCTTAAGCTTCGAGTCGAGGTTGGACAACTCATCAAAGACGTAACTTTCCCCAATGTTCCCAAGAAGATAGATTTTTCAGCTATGGACCGCCTCACAACGTGGTTACGCACTTTCGGATCCCAGCCCCATCACTAATTAGTCTTCGGTTTTATTTGGATTTGAGATTAGCTAATTAAAAGTTTCTCTCTATCTTGTTAATTTCTTTAGTGTTTTGTTTGGAATTTAGTTTTTATATTTCCATATCGCTGTAGAGCTGGTTCGATTCAAAAAGTATTAAATGAAATTTCAGATTTCTTATAATCATAATCAAAGCACAAATTATAACATGTATGAGCATCAATAGTATCCACAACGACTAATTCACTGATTTTTTTTTTTTTTTTTTTTTTGTTCTCGGTAGTCTCTTTAGGCTACATGAAACCAAGTTATAGAGTTTGCGTGACGAGAAACTATCCTTTTGGTTCACGATAGTTCCTTGTTGCTAATTAACTTGTTTTGAGCTTAATTTTATGGGCTTCATATTTTATTCTCTAGCAGTGTAAATTGTGAGTTTTTTGGATTGTTATTTAAATATTTTTTCGTATAAAAGTAGATTATAACTTGTGGGAATATGTTCTCCATACACAACATCATGTGGAAAACACTAGTTTTAATTCTTTACCAAATTCCAATTATACCAAATAACAAAGAAAAGAGAGTAAAACATCATGAAAATCCCAATTACCAAAGTTCAATATAAAATTCAAGTTTTTGATTAAAGTTCCCAATATGACGATCAGTACTGCGGTCTGAAAACAAAGTTGGGCTTAAGCCCAGAATAAGAATCAAATAAAGGCCCATAAAAGCCCAAGTTAATACCCGAATAAAAAAGGTCCGATCTTGTGTACCCGGAAACGAAACAGACTCTGAAGAGAGAGAGAGAGATGGCGAGAGAGAAGAAGAAGAGGTGTGTGGAGTGTGGGCATAAAGCTAAATCCTTGCTCATTCAATACTCTCCTGGCAATTTTCGCCTCATGAAATGCGTAAGCTTTTTTAGGGTTCCTTCTTAATCACTTTCTCTAGTAATTGGTTAGGTTAAATTCCCAAAGTTTAAAGCTTTTTATTATTTGAATTTTGGTAGGAGAATTGCGAGGAAGTAGCAGACGAATACGTCGAGTGTGAGCTAATGGTCCTTTAGTCTATCTTTATCGCTTTCAATTTCCAATTTTTATGCTTTTTTTTTTGGTGTTCATCAATTTTGTTTTCTTCTGATGATCAGATAATTTTCATCGACTTGATTCTTCACAAAACAAAGGCATACAGACACTTACTCTACAATGTAGTTAATCAAGAATCTGCTAATGTTCAGGTAAAATCTTTGATTTTAGTTTCTAAAATCCTGTGTGATCTTAAGTCTAGTTTGCCTCGTAAAAGTTAGTTTATGATGTTTGATTTCTAAATAGATATGGATGAATGAATTTACATTTATCTGATCTTTAGAGGATTTAACAATTTGGCAGCATCTATTGTGGAAATTGGTCTTGGCTTATCTTCTTCTAGATACTTGTATCCTTTCGTTATGGTATCAATTTCTAAGCTTAACTCTCATTTTGGAGATCCGTTAACTATTCAAAAGATAGAAGCTTGCTTCTGCGAAGAACCAGTGACGAATCGAATGTGTCCATGAGCTTTGTTCTTGAATCTCTAAAGGTTGGTTCTTTTACCCTGAGCTGTTGAGCATTGTTATATGTTTGGGGTTTATGAGAATGTTAGTAAATGAACTTAGAGTTATATGCATTTTTAACAGGTTCTGGTCAATGTTCTATCTGCGAATTTTGCATTTGTTTTGTCATTTTCACTTGCTGCTAAGATGATGCTGGGTATGTCAAGGTATATAGATTTTCTTTTACTATGAATTTCGCCAAAGTTTTATCTTGAATTTTCCCTGAATAAGTTAGTATATGATTTGTAGAGGACAAGAGATTCTTTTGGGGATCTTAATCTCGAGTTACATCAAGATCTTTCTATTTGCTATGCCGGTATGTTTTATTAGAATTTTCTCGGAATCTTGTCAATAATATCATAATCAATGAACATAGCCTCTTCTTGCTTTCATGCTACGCTCTTTAAACCAATGATACCAAAGACGATATAGGTCTGTAAATGCTAAAATGCCTGTAATATTGGTTACAGGTCTGGGAATTCCCGGTTTCTGTGATCTTCATCGTAGATATGCTCGTTTTAACATCAAATGCAGTTGCTCTTAAAGGTTAGAATCTTTGAAACTCTGTTGCCTAGTTCTATCGACCTTACACATGACTAGCTCTCTTGTTTTGTTTTTTTCCTTGTGATTTTACTAGTGATGACTGAATCAGCAACGAGCAGATGCGTAGCCGTGTGTTTCATTGCACACTCAATTAGATTCTTAGCGGATCAGATCACTGGGCCAACCAAACACTTTGGATATGTCATGTAAACTACCCTCTCTTATAAGGAACTTGTGATCTCATATAATCTTCTTTAGGGTCCTTTAGTTTCTTTTGTCTAACACCTATGTGATATAATATATGGTAATTTAGGATCGTCATAAACAGACTTGATTTATATTGTTACAAATATGGATTGAAAACAAAAAAAGTTACAGAAAACTTATATCCCCTTTCCTAAATAGTATTGACTTTGGTGGTAGATAGTGTGCTTTCTCATGGCTTTCCAAGATCTTAAGAGATCAAAGAACAATAGAATTTGTTCCACTTATAAGATAATTTATTATACATAGTAAACACGTTTGAACGAGAGAGAGA